TGTTTCTACTTCCTGTCCTCTCAAACCCAACCAGTCGAAGCAGATGGCCACTCGTCCTGAGCGTGGTTCTGCTGGAGGTTTCTTCCTGTTAAAAGGGAGTTTTTCCTTTCCACTGTTGCCTTTGTGCTTGCTCAGGATGGGAGACTGTGACAAAGTGAAGATTCAACACAATCTGCTGGCTTCCTTAGATAGAGAACTTTGACTAATTGGCTTTTATGATGTTTGTGAATGCTTTTGTTCAGTGCCCAGAGACAACTTCCGTTGTGACTTGGCGCTATAGAAATGAAATGAATTTAATTACAAAATTGTATGATTGCAACTACAAACAGATTTGTGCAAATTAAAATGATAGAATACATCAAATAGCATGCAGCGGGAGGTAAACACAGCAAAGCAAGGATGTATTGATGAGGTTATAGGACTCTTCATCAACTATCAACCGCTGCATTGTTGCTGTATTGCTGATAATTTACAATAAGCCTGTCCTTAGCATGTGGTACCCATTAGGTGAACGCCAATACAGTATCAGTGTACGTCATCCAAATAAATACTTTACAGACAGGAAATGGCCCAGAATTAATCCGTAGAGGATGGATGCAACCTTGCACTCCAAGCTGTCGATATTCTCCTGACAGCTGAGCTCATGTTCACTCCCTCTTCAGAAAATGCATTAGACGTTGATGATATCTGAGATCCATTCGATTTTTTTTCCACACAAGCACCAATCTGCTAATTGGTTGTGTAAAGGGAAGGTGAAGTGAGTGCACGTGTACACAGGAGAAATATTTAATCTCTCATGATGAGTTCATGGGCAACGAGAGAGAGTTCCTCTTTCATGAATAATCAGAGCTCTCATTGAGCTACAACACAAAAAGCCTTAACCAGTGAGAAGGTTTAATAAGCTTGAAGTCACGGGATGTGAACATGTAGGTCCAAGAGGTTAAATAACTTCAACATCTTGTGTAATTGGACTCATCATTACATTTTATAATAAAGTATTAATCTCACTTATTTGTGATGTGGGGCCAGTAGTTGCCTTGTGTTGTGCTTAGAGTGACATTAAGATCAAACTGTTAAAGATTTACACTTATATATACAGTTGTTCTTTGCTCATTTGATTTTTTAGACAAAAAAAAGAAGCATGAAATTTGTCAAACCAAGTTTAAAAATAAACATATCAATGAAATGTGCAGATGCAAACAGTTTCTAAAACAGTTTACTTACAGGTTGTTTTTAACTAGTTAATCTAAAAACTAAAAGTAACTTGAACACATAAAGCAGAAAATAAAACTAGAAGTACAGTAGTCCCTTGTTTACTGCGGGGGATCAGTTCCGAACCCGCTCGCAGTAAGTGAACTTCCGCGAAGTAGCAGCATTATATTTATTTTAGTATTTTCGTATATTTTAAGGCTTTAGAAACCTTTCCCACACTCTTGCAATGTTCTAAACTCTTAAACCTATGTCATTTTAACAACATACATATAGTACTGTATATGTAGCTACTAAATTTTACCTACCGGGCTCTGCAGAACAGGAGCGGCTCAGTTCGTTTCTGGTCTGACTCTGTTCCGTTTCTGCAGACGTACCCTGTAGCAACGAAGCCAACAATCAATGTTCTAAACTTGTCGTTGGCCGGTTGAAAAGGATGAAAAATGTGCGGTTAAGCTTCAGATGGACCACGGCCGCGCACGTCCGCTAATGGCTCGTCGTTGGCCGGCTGAAAGACATGGAAAAAAAATCCCGTTGAGCTTCAGATGGAGCGCTGGACTTTCGGCCACAAGTGTTTGCTCAGAGGTCCATGTGGGCGGGCTAACAGATCTCAACATTCACCGATGAGTCTGGAAGTTTGGTTCTGCTATGGGGACACCAATCAGATCAAAATTTTGACCTCTGGGTTTTCAGCATAAGGAAACAGGGCTTCTGGGCAGGGCCCTGTTGCGTTCTGAGCAATGTGGTCATTATGAGCAGGAATAGAATGGAGGCTTAATGAGAGAAAACTACAAAAAGACAGCGCCTGTCCGAAGTGCTTTATTTTTTTGTTAACTTTTAACTGTACAACAACGTTCATGCTCAATAATCCAGGTATACAATCCAACAATTTTCAGTCAGGTCATCTGGAGTTTTTTTTTTTTTGTGCGCTGAAACATTTCACCTTCCATCCAGAAGGCTTCATCAGTCAAGGAAACACACAACACAAAACTGATTCTTCCCCCAAACAGCTTACTCCAAAGTGGAACAAACCAGTTATCTTGGTGCTGAGATGGTCTCTTTGGCACGCCCCCTCCTCCGGTGTCGACCTTCTCCCTTGTCAACAGTCATGTCAAACTGGTTCAAAACCAACAAAGTCCATGCTTAATTATCCAGGTATACAATCCAACAATTTTCAGTCAGGTCATCTGGACAGTTTCTTTTTTGTGTGTGTGCTGAAACGTTTCACCTTCCATCCAGAAGGCTTCATCAGTCAAAGGAACACATCAGTTTTGTGTTGTGTGTTTCCTTGACTGATGAAGCCTTCTGGATGGAAGATGAAACATTTCAGCACCAAAAAAAAAAAGAAGAAAAGAAACAGTCCAGATGACCTGACTGAAAATTGTTTTTACTGTACAGTTCTGTATCCAACACTGTCCCAATCACGTGGGTAATATTAAAGTTGACAATCATGTCTCCTGTACAAGTTTATTTATTTATTATTTTGGACATTCTTGTGGCCTGAACGTCCACAAACAGCGAAGTAGCGAGGGACTACTGTAATGTTCACATTTTAGAGAGAGCTCTTGGATTCAAATCTGGAACAGCCTTCCTACACTTCCCAAAGAGGCTGCACCTCAGGAGGATGACAGCAGGAATCAGTTCACAGTCGTTTTTGATTTTACTGTTTCCAGTTTTCTAAACCTGTTAAGGAACTGAACAAGACTGTGTCGTGGGTGATGAGAGCCAAGAAGAACAAGTGAGTCACACCTAGTCTCAGCGCCATCATCACCAGTGGACTTTTAGCATCCTCCTCTGCTTGACGCACGTCCCCATCATAAGCAGCTTAGATGATGAAGCTTTTATCTCTATCGTCTTTAAAAATCTGGAAGGATTTCTTGTGATCATGACCTGTTTTACTTTAGAAGGAATGTGTTTTTGTTTCGATTTTTTTGCAGTAAACACAAAAGTGTTGTAATTTCACCATGTCTGATTTAAGGAATAAATGATGTTAAGGAAGTAATCATCTTTGATTTTTAACTTTTGATTCTTGTTTGCAAAAAGTTGGGAGCTTGTGTCAAATATATTTTTAAAAAAAAAAGCTTAAGATTAATTGTGTATCTTCCAAAAACTGAGAACTGTTATAGTTTTTATTTCCCATATTATTTTTTTTACCTTTATTGTTGACTAGTTTTTGTCCCAAGCATCAGACACTTGAATGTTATTTAAAATTTAACTAGTAGAACATGAACCTAAAAAAATAACCATCCCTGAGATTTTAAAACATCTTTCACCAAATTGTAAAAAGAAAAAAAAAAAAAATTGTCAGTTTTGACAAGATTGTATCTTTGTACGAAATCAAAAACTCTTCTAAAAACTTTTTAGTGAGTATAACTTTTCTCTATCCACTAATTAATGTTTGCATGAAAAAAAAAAAAAAAAAAAAAACTCCACAAATGAAAACATCTGTCCTGAGCACACAGTTCAAAACTCATCATTCATGATGTATGATTATGCATTAGTGCAGATGTGAGCTGTGAAGGCATCATTAATGCTAAATGAGATGTTTTGGAGCAGCAGGTTTTAATGTTGCTAGTATGGTTTCAGGGAAAGCTCATTAGACCTGCTGAAAGGAAAGGAAAGGAAATGGGAAAAAAGTTGAATTCATCTTAAATAATCTGTCATGTTATAACATAAAACCTTGAATATTTGTTCATTTAGTCAGTTCTCCAATGCTGGGAGTGTTGGCAAGCATTTCCCTGTTGTTTCTCATATGATCAATGGCATCAGCTTTTTAAAAAAGTCCTGTATGTGGACAGATTTTGTTGATTAATCAAACTCTGTTGCTAAAGAAAAACAGGCTTAAAGTGCAGCCTCAGGTCTGAGAGGTAACCCTTCAACAAACTACATGGTTACCCCTCCTTAGACCCTTATATTTCAGTAAATTATCAAAATAAGCATAAAGTACAGCAATAGTTAGCTTGTAATACTTGCTGAGTGGTTGCAGGCAAATACTTTCTGAAGTACTGAGCCATGACTGGAAAAATATTTTAATGCAGCTGTTTTTACAATAAGTTTGTCTTTTTTCTGTCTTGAGAAGTGTAGAGGTCTCAAGAAAAATATCTGAACAAATGCAGTATACTCGCCTAAACTTTAATCAATAGCTTCTTACAAAAACAAGACTTAAATTTAACTTTTAAATAGTATGTTGTAGGCAAATATAATGGATGTTTTGAAATGGAGCTTAAATGTTAAAGATTATTTGAGGAATGGCATTTTTCTCCCTCTTTACTCTTTACCCCCTCCCTTACATTTAAATGTGCATTTGAAAAATTACAAGAATCCTGTTTCATGCAAGTCAGAAAGGTTTAAATGTTGGCTCTTGGAGCTCAGTGCACAAGGTGGAAGAAATGTATTAACCCTTTTTCTTTGCATTGGTCATAAGGGCCTGTGTAAAGAGAAATGTTCTGGTTTAAAGGTGCACAGAGCCACTTTGATACGGATTCCAGTGAGCCATATGATGTCATTTACTGCCAAGACACAGGTTTCTCAGTGTGTCAGGTCCCAGAGGTACAACCATAAAAATGTATTTTCAAATACTGACACCTACCGGTCAAAAGGTGTAACTACACACACTTACTTTATACTTTTCCCTTTGACACTTTAATCTCAGTTTTCTTAAATAAAACAAATCCACTTTGAATAAAACTTTAATTCACAAAAATACATAACCATTTGAAAGAAAATGTACTAAAATGTACTTGAATTCAGAAAAGCTGGAACATAACACAAAAACACAAGAAGCATTAGAGTTGGTTTAGTATAATATATTTCAGCTTCAAGAGACATAGAAATCAATTATTTCCCCCCATTTTTCTTCTATAAAAGACCCATTTTTATGAAGCATTATTATGCAAAAAATGGCATTAGAATATATTATGGGAGCTATGAAATCCCAGTGACAGAGTATAAAATTAAGTCACATCAGAGAGAGAGAGATCTGCAGAAGAGAAGTCCATGAACAACAGGGCGAACAAAGAAATAATATAATAATAAAAATAATACATATTATGGACCTTGATCTATCATCACTGACATGACAGGCATGGAGAATAGATGTATGGCTATAAAAAAATTCTCACTTTTCCACTGGATTTCACTTGAAAACATCTACACATAATAGCTGATGCTTTTTTTTTCATGCTTGTTTTTGAAGAATATTTATAATCATACAACTAAAGAGGTCCACTTCCATGTCTTTCAAATACAATATTGATATTGAAAAAGATGAAAAATACTGAATTCAAGTTCTAACTTTGCTTTCCTTCCTAAACATTGTTATTTTCTTTTTGTTAAACAGTGAAAAAGGAACTAAAAATAAAAAGGGCTGCTCTGGGCCATGTAGGCGACTCGTTGACACTTGTTTTTCTTTAAACCTTCAGAGGCTTTGCTGCATTTTTACATCAGTTTGTGGCGCTCGTTTTGTTGATGCAGAAGTGGACACTGTCCGTTCAGGTTTCACACCCATACTGAAGCAGAGGAAGGTCCTCAGAGGAAAAAGAGTCTTCTCTCTCGTACTGTCCGTCTCGCTCTCTCTTTACTCTCTGTTGTAGGTCATCCTCGGCGTTGATAGGAGCAGTTCAGTCAGCTGATTCACCGTTTATGGCTGATGGAGGAGGGGGCGGGGCTGTTGGAATGCTGGCACGTTCCAATCAGGGCAACAGTTCTTCATTACAGCGTTTCTGAAAGACACCATTTATCGTCAATGTGCAAACAAACTCCTGCAAGTTAGCGCCCTCTAAAGGCTGTCGAATGACATTACATTTATTTACACAACTATCAGATGGCTAGAACTTAGCAACAATATATAATTTAAATACATTTTCAGGAAATAATCAACTACATCTGATTAATGTTTGGAGAAAATATAATTCAAGATGGTTGCCAAAGCCAACTAATGTTGAAAAACACAAGAATGGCAATATTTCAGTCATTTTTACAGAAAACTGAGTTAAATTGTATGTGGTAGTAGCTGAGTCATTCACAGCACATACTGTGTGACATGTCACAATATTGCATGAATTGTGCATAAGGTTGTCTTCAAGGTTTTACCATTTTGTAAGTGCATCCGCTTCATTTAAGATTTTAATTTAAACTCAGGCATGAAAAATGGTGGGCAACATGCATTCTTTCAAGGAATGCTAGGCTTTTAACTTTACTATTAATTGAAAGTTTGGCAGCATTCTTAAAGCTAGTTTTCTAAATGCAAACATTAATATATAATTTTTATTATTCTTGAAATTTCTGCCATGATCTGCAACAAATATTTGTGACATCTAACCATTACCATTACAGCCAGAGTAAGAAGTGAAGCCAGGTGTTTGTGTGACAGAACCAAGACAAGTGCTTCGTTTTCTGAGGTCCTTTCACTTCTAAAGAAAGCCATATATGGCATTTATATAGGACTTCTGCCCAGTTGCCAAGGGCCCAATCCAGTGATCAAACCTACCGTACTGACACTAAAAAAAATAAATACATTTAAGTTATTTGAGGGTCTATGTTGAGCTTCTGCAGGTACATTGAAAAATGGTTCAGGAGCAGCAGAGTGAAAGTCTGTCCTACTGAGGCAGACACGTGCAAGAGTTCCCACTCTGAAGCTCAATTTCTGCTTAGCGCAGCAAGTGTGATCTGCTTTTAGACCCATAATTACAATATTTTGTGCGGTTTCACTGAGCCACTAGTGGGAAGTTCAAATGGCTTTAGCTTTAACCCAATAATAAAATTAAAAGACAATTATGATCAAACGGTCTGAAATTGGATGCTCAGCTAAGGCCTACTGTGGCAGAGAAAAACACCTAAATCAGGTTTTCTATTAAATAAGACCCACCAAGTCCTGACTGTATCAAAATAGCTACTTTACTTGTGTTCATTTAGTTCAAGAGATCGTTTTTTTTTTATTCTCCCAGAGAATACAGTGATGGTAAAAACAAGAAACTAGTTAATACGAGCTCATGAGGCTAACATGGCAATAGAAGGTTTTATTATTATCTGGGTTCAGTCTGTGGCTGGCACCGTCACCTCTCCGTCTCTTCCAGTCTGAGCTGCTGTGTTGTGAACAGTAAACCTAAAATCCTGTTAGTGCTGGTTCAATGGGCTGGCCAGTGTGTGAACTAAAAGTTGGACAGGAGGGGGGTGCAGACATGGCCCCAGGGCTTCCAGACGGAGACCCAACTCTGACATACTGACCAACACCGATGGAGTCCGATGAACAACACAGTGGGTGATTGGGTAACCCTGTTATTTGGCCTGGACACAATGACATTGCCTGTTTCCGTAACATTTTGTATTATCCAAGTTTTTCCTTCATCCTTCTATTAGCCGTGATTTGTTAGTGTGGAAATACTGACTTAAATATGTTTTAAATTTCTAAAGAGCGCTGTTAATTTTGAAAGTTATATTTAAAAGATACTCATGGAAACCAAACATAAAAAGTTCTCCTGAACTCAAACGGTGCAGTTCGAAAGAGTTTATTCCAGGAGTTTTCCAGATATCTTAATATGCAATTATGAAATATGAGTCGGCACTTCATGCAAATGAAGCGCTCAAGTTGAATCTGATGGAAATCACATGAAAGCTCGAGTCACAATTGACCTAGATTAGTCTGGCTGTAGTCTATGTAGGAAAACAAATATGGTGGAATCAAGGAGATGATGCATGGGTGGAAATTTAGGAGTGAATCTGCTGCTAAATGTAAAATAAAAGAGAAATGGTAAACAGCTGTACTTATATAGCACCGTTCCATCTACTCAAGATGCTCAAAGTGCTTCTTTACATCACAATCTGTGCCCTCATTTACCTCCACACACACAATCATACAGCACTCTACTAGATCTGCACAAAGATTAATCAGTGCTTTAAATCACATTCATACACCGATGGGACACACATCAAAGAAAATGAGGGGTTCAGCGGCTTGATCAAGGGCACTTCAGCATGTGACTGCAAGTGGAATTGAACCCCCAACCCTCCCATTGGAGGCTGACTGCTCTAACCACTCAGCCACAGCTGCACCAAAAAAGAACAAAAAAAAAAAAAAAAAGGCGACTGTCAAGAATAAATATCGTGGATCAGGCCGGGCGGTGGAGCGCTACAAAGAAAGAGCTCATCAGCAGTCAGACACAAAACTTCTTCTAGACCGGTGAGTGAATCGTTTCAACCTAACACATACTGGTTTTATCTGCACACTTTTCTCTACAAATCTGAGCATAAATACGTACAATACATAAAAATTGTTCTAATAAAGCCCATTCATGGATGTCGCCACTGCTGACCTCTTTTCAGTCATTTTGCCTCTTTCCATAGGTAAAAAAATGCACGTGGTAGTCGGCAGCCGCTCACACGTTTTGTTTACAAGTTCTTAATTTAAGGGCACATTACCCGTCGATATGACAAACATTGTGAAGATTTTGTTTCTTACTTTATGATTATTGTTTGGGGTTTTTTTTTTTTTTTGGACTGGTCTTCATGACATTGCAATAAATGCCTGTAAAGAATAATTTCAGTTGAACAAATAACTTCATCTAACAATGTTGAAATATTTTAGGTTATAAAAGTGTTTAGTTTTGACATTTTACTACACAGTTTTGTTGCTGTCAGAATGAAACAAAGATGACACTATTTAATGTCATTTATTACTCCAAACACATTTTATGGTGGGTACATTAACATCAGTATGAGACAGCAAGTATAGAGAAACTACAAAATGTTAATGTTATGGAGAAAAAAACACAGTAAATTAAGAAAATTTGTGTCACCTGGGCCTGTCACGATAACAAATTTTGCTGGGCGATTAATTGTCTCAGAAATTATTGCGATAAACGAAAATATTGTTTGAAATTTGACAATAATTGGTCATTATTGTCAAATTTAAGAAGAAATGTTTGTTAATTTTTGTGTGTAGCACCTTTTTTTGACCACTGGATGGCAGTATGACTGTTTGAACTGAAAGATGGATAGTGAGGGAGCGAGCAGCATGTCTCTAAGAAAATGGGAGGGAGGCCCCTTGACGTGATATGGGCCGTCTCTCGTTACAGTTTTTCGGTTCTCAAAATGGCGGACGCTCGGTGTGGTTTGAGCTCTTTAGCATAGCATTTGTCACACAAAGCTTTTGATTAAAAAAAATAAAATCACTAAACAAGTTCTCAGCTTCTTTTTGCAGAGAAAAACTACTTTTTAGACGAAAGCAAAGGTTTCAACTGTGAATTTTGGAGCTTCGACAAAACTGAGTTTTTTTCCCTGAGGTCGGTCTGTTAGCTTAGCTCGTAGCTTTGCTTCACAGCTTAGCTGCTTTTAATGATCCAAAAATGCAATTTTGGATGGTTAAAATGGATTTTAAAGAGAAAAGAGAACGGTAGGGGTCAGTGAAGAGCACCAGAGTTGAGCCTTTTGTCATCCAGTGTCTTCTGAAAGAGAGAGACACGAAGAAACAAAGCAGATAAATGAAAATGAGGTCGATAATTTTCATTTATCATGCGATTAATTGATTTATTGTTTATTGCGTCAGGCCTAGTGTCACCTTAAAAAAAATGAAACTGACTAAACACAGAGCAGAGTAAGTCTTGCCTCAGGACAGTTCTGCTTCGTTTAAAGCTGCTTTATTGCTCCAAAATTCTCTATTATTCCCACTGACCAAACGGACTGCTGCCAAAGCGAGGAGGTGTGGGGTGGCGAGGCTCGACGGAGTTTCTGAGTGGTCAGTAAACAGAAATGCCAGCGCCAAAACAAAAAAGTAATATTTCTAATTTTTGCAACGGCTGTCTCTCAGATCAAATTACTGGCCAAGAATGACCTTTTCCTGGTGGCACTGAACGCAGCAACTCCCTTCACTCTGAATGAATTGTAGCGCCATGAGGCAACATCATGAGACGGCACAACATTCAGGATAGAAGTTATTTTAAAAAGTTTTTTTTAAAGAGCTCAAATGACACGCATGCTAACTTCTGTCAGGAATGTTGAAGCCTTCATGCTTCACTCCCTCCTGTGTTTGGAAACAGTGAGGCCCAACACCGTTAATTTCCATGTGAGAGCCACACATCATCAAATCTCAAGATTTCATCAACAGATTAAACCTGAAGTCGTCATTTAGGGGAAACTTTCCACATCAGAGTTGAAACATTTCTTATTTTGACTTCTGAAATTAGCGAAAGATGACTTTACTTCCATTAAAAACTCGCAGTGAACATGAACTTTAAGATGTAAAGAGAGCTGGAATTTATATTTATAGTGGAAAAAAAATCTGATGGGAGCATGAATATTTTTAAAACCCCTGCAGAACTTTCCCACAGTGGGTCCAAACTCCGAAGACCAAATGCAAACATTTTTATTCCCCGTTCAGACCACAGCTGACGTTTATTAATTTTTCACTCAGAGGAACAAACGCACACTGATTCTGCTAAAAATGAGGTGGAAATTATGAATGAAAACTGATTACTGAAGCTAAAACAACTAGAAATGCTGGTATGTCTCAAAATTTAAACAAGAGTACACAGGCTGATTAAATAAGCAATTTCATTTTTCAGACTTCCCCATTGAGCCACATCCGGTCAGACTTTAAAAAAAAAAAAAAAACTACTCCGAAAAAAAGACATTTTAAAGACATATTTCTGGGAAATTACATGATGACGGAGCAGGATTTCCGCAAATTTTTCCAGCTGTTGCGATTTGCTGAGGTCTAAAATTTAACTCGTTTTAACTCATTCGATCGACCTTAAATACAAAAAGGTGTAAATAAGAGTGTTTTGCATTTTTTAAATAGGACTCTGTAATTTTTGGGGTGTTTAAAAACATGTAATGGAATTAAATTGTCAAATCTCACATATTAATCTGAAAAGGTTTGGATGATTCGCTGTGATGAGGAAGGGTTTTTTTTTAACTTTACTTTTACCACAAAGTAGAAACGAAACATCTGCTGGGAAAAGCTACGTGAACTTTTAATACGCGTTTTCTTGTTATATGAAATGAGAAGAAGGTTAAATGTTAATATGCTTGCTGCAAAATCTTTGGAGTATTTTTTACATTAATCTTTTGTTGTCTCCTCAGTTGCCTGTAGTGCTGAATTCACTCTGACTTTTATCCTGTTTGTCAAAGTTTGTGCACTTAACTTAGTGAGACGGACCAAAAAAATAAAAGGTTGCTGGCAAAAACTGTACTGTGCAAAATATTTTACCTAGTAATGGCTAGTACTAAAAAAACAAAACACTTAACAGAATGAACAGCAGCTGCAGTAAACATCAAAATGTGATGATTAAAAGATCTTTTAATAGACCACTGAACCCGATGGTATGCCTATGAAAATGCCAGCAGCAGGGGTACTGTTTTGTGGACAGGCGCTTACCTGGCTCAGAGCTGCTGCAGGGGCTTGAAGGGGACATCTTTAAAGCAGAACACAATTTGATTTCTTTTTTGCCTTCTTCTTTTCCACTGGTGTTTTCCTATTTATCTGTCTGACCAGGTCATAGAAGATCTAAGAGACAAAGTGCACAAAATCAGATAGTGACAGCTAGTAAACTCCATGACACAAACAAGGCATGAAACCTCATTACTAAACCAAATTGCTCATATATGGTTGAAAGAGAGGAGACTAGAACATCCGAGCTTAAATGTCATTTTAATAAGAGGTTCCTTGGTAAATCAGAATGACAGTCTTGGGAGAAATTGTTTGCTAAATGTGGTGAGTTTTGGTCAAACCAGACCTCAGTTTAATAAACATTTAAGAGAACATTTTGCCTGCTGTTCTGTCTTCTGTTTCAGCACAGTATGAGCAGGTTCCCCGTGCTTTGTATGTGTGTGTACTCACATCAAGGACATTGATCTTTGATTTAGCAGAGGACTCTAAAAAGGCACAGTTGTTCCACTGTCGGGCCAAATTCTGGCCCTGCTCCTTCCCCACCACACGCTCATCTTCCAAGTCGCACTTGTTCCCTACCAAGATCATCGGCACCTGGGAGACAGAAGAAAATCAAGTCAGTGAGTTAAAAACTTATTGTGTGGGTTATTCCAAATACAGTACAACCCATTTTTACCTCTGTCTTTGAGCAGACGGTTTTCATTTACTTCATGTTTGCATTTTCTCATAATGTTCTGATTAACCAAAAGTCTGGCTCCAGACTCATGTGCAGCACAAGTAAAACACCACATTAAAAATAATCCAATCTTAATGCCATCTTATTTGTAGAAAACAAAAAAATAAAAATCTGTATGCCTTTGAAAACTGTCTATTGTTGTCGCTGTTGTCCATCGTCATCATTCTTTGTTGAAATCAGGTCTCTTTGTAAATGAGTCCTCAAGGCTCAATGAGATTTACCTGTCTAAATAAAGGTTGAATGAAAAAGAAATAATCCAATAAATAATAAACCATCATCTCTGGATCAAAAGAAGTAGAGTAAGAACTGAGGAAGAACATGTTAGTGCACACTGGACACACTGGAGACCTGGTGTACATTTGGCAATACTGGCAAAAATACCAAAACTGTTTCCCACAAATTACTGACATTAACTGTAAACTTGAGGAAATCCTTGTAAAGAAACTAAAGTTACAGAAAACTAACCGTCATGGCTCGCTACACTTAACATACCGCTTGATCAGCAAATCCATGAACGTCATGGATAACAGCGGGCTTTGTCGGATATTTTTATTGCTACAAGCTCTTTGTTTTTTCACTTTCAAAGATTATTTTTTATTTGACTCTGATATAGATGACATCATAGACAAAGTTTTAAGTACTATGTAACGTAATTGCTACTGCTATTAATAGCCAGATAGAAGGTGAAACTTGTCAAATTGGTTTTATTCTGAAGCGGCACACTAATTAAAGGTATTTCCTTTGTTTCTTTATGTTCATATTAAAGTCATAAACCTCCAGGTATTTTCTTTACATAAATAGTAATCAATTGTATTTGGGGGCCGTGATAGTGGAAGTAGGGCAGCCAACTTGGGATCAGAAAGTCACGGTTCAACTCTCAGCCATGCCCACATGTTGTGGCGTCTCTGAGCAAGACACCCAATCCCTAATTGCTCCCTGGGTGCTTACATAGCTGTCCACTGCCCCACCTGGGTGCATCTCACATGTGATAGGTTAAATGTAGAGAACCAATTTTGTCATTGTATGGGAACATGCAATGATGACAACATATAGCACTTATTTTTTTCAATTTATATAACATATATAATATTACATATTATTTCCACATGTTGGTAACTACAACATTTATCAAGGATTCAAGTTTCCTTATTTGTCATTCCACCACATGTGGTACATGTGGTGGAATGACATTGTGTACAAAGGGTCCCAGTTACACCCAACAAAAGTATAAAATGTAAAAAAAAGAACAGTAATAAGATCTAAGATATGAAATAAGAAAAGCGTTAATAAAAATACACTAAGCACTAGTAGCACAAAAACAATATGCCGAACAGCAGCACAAACATGAGTCTGTGTGAGCAGATGAGTACGAATGAACAGAGCAACATGAAGATCTTTACCATTAAAGTCATGACTTGTTAAACTTCTGTTTTGTAATGAAAACACTGTTCATATCCAACAATCTTAAGAACAGCTTCTCAGTAACATTTCTTCTAATCTCATCTTCTTTTCTGAAGTTTTTCTAGACGTTTGCAACATAGTTTGCATTTTTCTGAGCCCAATGTGTAAGCAACTCCTCAGTATATTCAACATAAAAAGTACAACTACAGTAAGTTTGCTGAATTATGTGACTAATTTTAGCTGAAATGAAGAACAGACTTCAATTTTAAAGAAGTCAATGCAGAATTCTGGCAACTTCACCCATTTCTTCAAACTTTTTATGCAACAGTATTTAGTTTGTTTTGCTTATTTTATAAATAGTTTCTGCACTACATTGAGAAAGTGCGACAGGTTGTGGAGTTTCCTGAAATACACAATATTTCTTCCCTACTGCATCTTAACATTTTAACATTGTCAGAAAAAGTGTAATTTTTTGGGGGGAAAGAACATCTGAAGCAGAATTTCAGCTTTGTCACAGTCGACAGACACAGAAGGGTGTCGGGATGCGCCTCATCCTGCCTGATGTTTCCTGACCGGCTATCTAGGGAGAATGCTGCTCCGGAGGAAGTCGTGGCGGCCCCGCCCAGAAGGGATAACATCGCTTTCCTTCCTGAATATTTTCAAACACTTCAGCTGGATTTCGTGCTCCAGCTGCTTTCTGGAATTACATGACAGTGTGAGACTGTCCGTATGCACTTTTGTCATGCATGTTGTGCGTTTTCCACAACAAACTAGGTTTATTAAACTGCTGTGAAATTAGGTTAGCAAAAACAGGGTTCAAGAATTCGGAGCCTTCGTGGAGTTCACAGGATATTTGTGTTTGTAGTACGGCTTAGCAACAAGAAATCAGTGTGTGGAAAGTTCTGCGTTCAACACAACAGGCACCAATAAAATATCAGCTGAGGAAATCTATTTGTGGTAGGTAAAACAGTGAACTTTTGCTTAGGAAATCCTGCCTTCAGTGCCTCTCCTGGTACAGAAATAGCCAGCAGACATGGCTTGTAGAAGGAATATTTATGAACAATATTTTTGTATTCTGATAAGCTCATATTTGTTCATGCGTGAACACAATACACAAATAACACCTACTAGTCGAGTTGTGGATGGGAAAACCTCTGACATATAGGGAATAAGTCGAGTATCTAATCGGTTTTCTTCTCCTCCTCCTGTCTTACATTCTGTGAGAGGCAGGCGACAGGAAACGGTGTGATGTTTAGATTAACCCCAGAGAGGCTGCTGCTTGATGTTTGATATCTAAACAAGCCCTCACACTGGACTGCTAAAGGACATTTCTCCCAGGGGTCCTGGGAAAAACAGCAGCATGCCCTCCTAATACAAACTTTAAGCCAAGCCAGGTTTTTTTTTTTTAATTGGCAAAATGGTTGGAAGGATGGAGGTATGCAGAAAAGAAAAAAATGTTTAGTGTCAGCAGAACAGAAGGCAGCATTAGCCAACTCGAAAAATCCACACAGCCCACAGAGAATCTGTTCAGAGGCGGTTAGCGTACCACAGACTGCCCCGCAGTGGTATGCTAAAGATTGGTCTGCACACACGACAGAACAGGAGAGTATAAAACAGTATAAATCAATAAAAGCAGTCAATCTAAATGAAGCAGTGAATCACAAGCATTGACTTAGCGCTAGGCTAGTCACATAAGCAGAATGGAGATGGCACCAAAAAGTCATGAGACTTCTTACATAAGTACTCTGGAAGGAAGTAAAGAGGGCAAGCTTTTTATATACTGATGACTTCTCACTTCATTTTTCCTTTTCCACTGAAAGACTTTTGAGGAGATGAAACTTGACCTCACTGTATTCAATGTACAGTTTTTAAAAGTCTTAATTGAGCTTGGCAATGAATGTGTCTGTACATGTTGCCAGTTTTGAACTTAATTGTGCGTGACAGAACTGAAAATAAGAACAGCTGCTGCAGCACATACTCTTCTTTAGCTCTTCAACAGTTTGAAAGTGATCTCAAAAATGAAGGAAAAAAAATGGGGTGATTAACATAAAATATGCCTAGCATTTCCTTTGGTCGTGCATTCCTGCAAGAGGCAAAGAAAGATAAACAGATGTCACAGCTATTATAGGTAAGGGCTTAAATCCCTCCGAGCTGATGGCTGACTGAGCAGTCATTAAAGCTAGATAAGCAAAACTCTTGAATTTGAGGTATATTCTTTGGGGAAAACACATTTTCAGGAGAAAAGGAACATAAACTGCTTTCTTGCGTGTTAGGGAGCCACTGATCCTGCAATCCATCTGTTAGCCTAAGGCTAACCTCAGTCTTTTAACCACAGAGATGCTTAATGAAGCACCGCAGCCTTGCAGTCCAATGTGCTTTTGATGAGCTGAGGCTTTCTTTGCACACCATCCCTGAAAGTCCAATCACCTAAACCACAGTAAGGCCACAAGGAAGGGCAAAGAGAATGGGGTCGGACCATAATGGACATTAAAAGGAAAGTCAAATCTACAAAAAATATCAACAAAAACTGACATATATACAGAGGAAGGAGAGCAAGCAGGACAATAGAGGTACAGACAGAAGTGCAAAGTAGAGCCTACGGGGGGTTTATCTAGATGGCTGAGGGGAACAGAAAACGAGGGGGGAGGAAAGTACAAGAAAGAGTTATAGTAACATTCACTCCCACAGATCACCAAAAAAGGGCATCCTAGATCCTGCTGACACATTTATCTGCTCCACCAGAAAGAGGATGGAGGACTTACTCACTCCACAGCTTCAACATTTACCAGAGATAAAAAGATGGAAATGTGCTGCTGACAAAAAGAAATTTTGAAAAATAATGAGGCGACACATCCGCTTTTCCCTTCATATTTTTGTTTCAAATCCGAACCAAGGGGCCGACTTGAAAGTGAAAAACACACATGGTGGCAGTGCCAAGCCTTAAATCATTGTTAAACAAAAAGTGAATGTTTTTACTGCTCTCTTATTGAAGTAACAGTGTTCTGTCTCTTGACATACTCTTAAAATATAAAAATCATAAACTAAAGAAAAAAGTCATGTTAAATCGGAGTACCGGTTCAGTTTTATTTGCCTAAAATCAACCTAATATATAACCCCTCCTGTGTAATGTAACAATTTTTAAGTACAAAACATGTATTGTTTTTAAATTTCAATGGTATCCTTAGTAACAGTCTAATCAGGACTCTAAACAACGTAAGTGGTTGAGCTCACATTTATTGGACACTTCAAACCAGCTACTGAACAAATTTCCACTATTTTAGCCATCTCTGACTCAAAGGACTCAATGTCAGAAATTTTGACGTAGCTCAAACGTTCGACTTACATCCTCTGTGTCCTTTACTCGTAGAATCTGTTCTCTCAGGTCTTGAAGGTCATTGAAGGTGGACTGTGCTGTGATGGAGTATACCAGGGCGAAGCCTTGGCCATTCTTCATATACAAGTCCCTCATTGCCGTGAACTGTTCCTGTACAAGGTAGTGAAAGTAAATGAAATTTAAAGATAAGAGACAAGCCATGAGCACGTCATGATTTTTTTTCTTCTTATCATTTCGGTTTTAAAAATTGGTTGAAAAGTTCAAATTCAAAATTGTGTAACCTCTGGATAGCTAAACTGATAATATATAAATAAATAATTAGAGATATTTTGCAGTGCTACATGTTGCAACATGAGGACTTGTTCATCTTCACATAAGCAGACGAATCACCCACATCAAGCCTCAGCTGAAAGTTTTAGGCACAAACAAGTTAGGCCTGTCACGATAACAAATTTTGCTGGGCGATTAATTGTCTCTGAAATTATTGCGATAAATGATAATATCGTTTGAAATTTGACAATAATTTGTAATTATTGTCAAATTTAAAATGAAATGTTTAAAATGTTTTGAGTATACTACCTTTTTTGACCACCAGACGGCAGTATAAGACTGTTTGAAGCAAAGGATGGATAGTGAGAGAGCAGACAGCGTGTTTCTAAGAGAAATGGGAGGGAGGCCCCTTGACGTGACATGGGCTCTCTCATTCCTTTTTTCAGTTCTCAAAATGGCCGACGCTCAGTGTGGTTTGAGCTCTTTAGCATAGCATTTTTCACAAAAAGCTTTCAATAAAAATAAAAAAAATCAGTAAACAAGTTCTCAGCTTCTTTTTGCAGAGAAAAACAAGTTAGCCTGTTAGCTTAGCTTGTAGCTTAGCTTCTCAACTTAGCAGCTTTTAACGATCCAAAAACGTGATTCTGAACGATTAAAACGGATTTTAAAGAAAAAAATAGAAAGGGAGAGGTCAGTGAAGAGCACCAGAGTTGAGCCTTTTGTCATCCAGTGTCTTCAGTAGAGACACGATAAAGCTGATAAATAAAAATGAGGTAGATAATTTTCATCATGCGATTAATTGATTTATTGTTTATTGCGACAGTTAAAAAATTTTAGCAGCACAACTAAAGTTGACTTTGAAGGAATTCCCATTTTTAGTCACTACTTTTCAGAAACAGGGTTAGCAATAAACAGGACGATGTAAAGAACAGCAAAACTACAATTACACTTAAAATGGCAAGAAAAAAGCAACGATTTTCATTTTCACTTTGGAGTTATGATGCACTGAAACATGCCGTCCTTTATGTCTCTCCTACAGATAAAAATCTAATTTATTCTCCATAATTTGTGCAGATAGACATGCTATAGTTCAGTGTGTCTTTTAGACGCTTTGTGTCACATTACCTTTGTCTGAGGCCTAAAATGTGCCACTCAGTCTGCAAACTAGTTCATTAGTCACTAGTAAAAAAAACTGTGTGACTCGGGACAATTTTTTGAAAACAATATTATTCATTCTACCTCAGTAGAAAATTTAGATCTGAAATGGCCCGAGTAAGAGTTATTAATAATTTTTTTTGTCCCAACTATTATAGTAAAAGCAGCCTTGCATTAGCTTTTCAGCATCTTTTAAAGATGTCATAAGCTCTCACACATATTTCCCTTACTGTTAACTTATTATTTTTATATACGAATGTTTCTGTTAACTTATTATTTTTATATATGAATGTTTCTGTTCAGTGCCCTGGGATGACTTCTGTTGTGACTTGGAGCTATATAAATAAACTGATTTGAACTGAATTATTTCCTGCTGTTTTATTGAATTAAATAAATTTCCAAATCGTTTTATTTGAAAAACATTAAAAATATTAGCAAATAAGAAGACACATGTTTAAGCACCAAACATCTATTTTTAAAATGTTTGGGAAAACACTGATCAAATTGTCTTAGACCTGCACAGAATTACTGTGGAGGATTGAGAAAATATTTATTGCAGTGTCAGAGCATGACACTTGTACAGTAAAATCTACAAATGTAATTCCAGTTAATCTGTAAATCAGCTGGTGTGCTGTCACACTTGACATTTCTCCAACACATTTAACGTAATTTATCCGAGTCATTGTATTTTCTTCTTCAACTCTAAAAAAGGCTAATCTTCTTACTAAGCTTTAATAATCAATAAACAGATTCAGTAGTTTTCAGAAAGAACATGCTGATTTACAGAAATGTGAATGAGGCGAGGTTCACTTACTGTGCCAGCTGTGTCGAGAATTTCAAGCATACATTGCTGTCCATCTACCTCCACTTGCTGTAAACGAACAAACAAAATATATATATATATATATAACCGTCATGATGTAAACCTACAGAGCAGCTGCAACTAATCAGCTCCTTTCCAAGCATGCGCTCTCACTGCAACACTCACCTTTCTGTACGAGTCTTCTATTGTAGGGTCATATTTTTCCACAAAGATTCCCTGTACAAACTGAACTGTCTGCAAGACAAGACACAGAAAGCCAGACTCAAGTCAGCATGTGACTGTCACATCATCTGATGCACTTTCCACCTGCAATCACCAGAACTGGAACATCTGGAATGCTGATGGAGGTGGTAGACAGTGGATCCAAGCAGATGACAGACAAACTGAGCGTTGTCGTATTATGATGTATGATTAACTGACGATGTCAAGACCAACTAAACAGTACTAAAAGGATTGTGCTTAGTGGCAAAGGGAAGGGTGGGTCAACCTGGTTCACCTGATAGCATCCTAATCCAGGCATTTCAAGGGATTACCCTGACTCTGACACCTTGCTGAAGTTAGCTAAAGAGGGCATGCAACCTTTTACAGACATGGAGGTCTCCAAATAATCTTGTATTAATCAGAAAATACTTGAATATTCATATTTAGTTTCTATTCTGCATCACATTTGAAGGAAAAAATATACTACCAGTAAAATTTTAGCTTTTAACATGAAGCACAGACAAATATAAACTTGTCAGTTTATGCAAGAAAAATAAGTTCAGTATAATTTTACACAAAAAAGGACAGTTGTTTCTGAACTTTAGCCATTTTTTCAACCCTTTCAGGTTTTCAGTAACATCTTTTATCACTTTGTTCTCTTCAGAAGGTTGCAAAACATCATGCTGTTTTATTGGCAATATGCAAAGTCTCTAGGAAACCAGATGCAGAGGTGTTAGAGGTTGGACAAACAGGAAGGAGACCAAGAGGACATACTCACCAGAGCGGACTTGCCCACACCTCCAGAGCCTAACACCACTAACTTGTATTCACGCATGGCGGGATTGCTTCACTGGACAGCCCAACAGTCTGTACTTGACAAAAATGGGGGAGGGATGGGACAAAAAACAACAAATGTTAAAAATCAAGCTAAAAGACAAAGAATTTACATTTATTTGACACAAAACAAAAATCTGGTCTGCGAGTTCCTTCAGTCCAGAGAGGAAAGATTTGAGTCGTTCCTGGAGATTATGGACAAGAAGGAGCACAACAATAGAGGGAACACCCATAAGTGAAGCTGCTTCAGGGTGGAGGAGGTGAAGAGTGTGAACCTTTCCTAACACAAACCAGCTGTGGTAAATGAGTTAAAAGGGGGATCCTAAGAGGAGATGATGCATGAATCTGGCAGATATTCTTAAAAATGACACAATCATCTGGCTTTCACACACCAAAACACACCCTGCTGTCAGAACCGTTAGCCAATCACACATTTTTTGTGTGTAACTAAACAATGACAATCGTCTCATTGTCAGATTAAAATAAACATTTGAAGGAAGTGAAAACTGCAATTAGAGGAAATTGTGAAATTAAAGAAATAACATTACATAAGGTGTGCGTTTCACACAACATTAAAAATACAAAAAATATATTTAAAACTTTCTTTAAATAGTTTTAAAAAAAACACCAACTGGATGACTATAAGCCCGACTACAGATAAAGCAGAGACTAGGGATTGGTTGATGATTTCTTCTGATATTCTCTTTCAAATTAAAATTGTTTTCCAATATCTATTGATATTACTAAAATAATGAAAACTTCTGAAATATTTTGAACCGTTTATCAATAAGTAATAAATCTTCAAGAAAAATAAATCCATAGCCAAAACCAAAGGCCGCTTCTTCTGAGAAATATGCTTTAGCCACCTGATACCACAGTTTATCAATCAAATACTACCTTTAAGTTTCAACAAATGTCATCTCTGAAAAAACAAGAATTTAAACCCTGGGTTACAAAAAGAAGCACATTAGACTAAAACTATGATTTTAAAAAAAATCTGAAAAGCACCAAATCGTCAACTATTCTGGGAGGAAGATGATCCCCTCCTACACTGTTCTTCCTGCACACTTCATCAAAATTCTCAGAAAGGGTGTGTAAAGGACTTTCATCTTTGATCACAAGCAGTGGCCAAGTAGGATATAAAGCCTGAACTGTGAATAATTCATATTCTCTAATCCTCCACAAACAAAAGAGGGGTTCAGGAACGAGTCCGTGGACAGAGAAGAAAAAGAACAGATCTCCTGCTCCTGTTCTTTCATGTAAACCTTGAAGCTTAAAGTCAAGTGTATGCACAGCATCACATAAACAAATGTCATACAATGTCACGCTTGGATTTAGGCTACGATTCACTTGTCAGCTATCTGCACGTCAGGTTTCTTGGTTCAGGGCTGTGGACTGACCCTTGCTAGGACGGATGACGTCAGAGGTCTCCTTGCACTTGCATTATAACGTGACAGCATCAGAGCTTGTCCATCAAGGAGTAAAGTCAAATTCCACCATTTTTAATAGCTTTGAAGGACGAGCAAAACAGAAACATCAATCCTAACGTAAACATGAAGATATTGGCTTGTAACTCGTGCAAATAAACCAATTACTTGTGTTTGCCCGATTCATTTTAAAATCTGCTAGGAAAATAAAAAAGTGCAATTAATGGCCAAAAGCTTTGTATAATTTACACAGAACATAAGAAAATAACAACAAAAAAAAGAGATTTATCCATTTTCCAGGTTTCAGATTTTATTCCATTTATAACTGATGTGAGCTTTTTCACAAATTTGGTGATTTTTGGTGACTGGTTATGTGAATTTTCATTTAGGACATGGAGGTAGTTGGAGTGAGGACAGAGGATGCAGAAGAGAGTGAGATGGAGGAGGATGACTCGCTGTGGAGACCTCTGACGAGGGGAAAGCCGAAAGAAGTTTAACTTTTATATTTAAAAAAAAAAAAAAACGTTCTTTAAAAAAATGATAATTGTGCCACATTCTAATTTGTAAGATTCTCTTGTTCTATCCTAACAAGTTGAATGGAAGGCAACTTTTTGATTCCTGAAAGTATTTCACTTCTCATCTGAGGAGCTTTCTCAATTCAAAATTGAAAGTTGTGTCAAGCTTGATAAATGTTGTTGGGCTATTCATCTTCATCATAAGATGAAGATTTCCTGCATGGCACAGAACCTACTCCACTTATTGTTTTGAGAACCTACATCTTTGCCACCAAGTCAAAGATCATCTCAGTTTATTTTCAGTGGTGTTGCTTTCCTTCTTAAAATCCCAAGCATTTATTTAGATGACCAATCTTTCTATAGTAATGGCTGTGGGTCTTTCATCAATTCAAATGCCACATACACAAATCCGTATAGCTGTAAAGGAGCAGACACACTAATGACAAATGTAAGGAGAGCTGTCGTCTCTTGTGAAACTGTGTTACTAAAAAAAAAAAAAATGAATATGGGAAACTGTGACAAAGGTAGCAGGCACAGAAACTCCTTGTTCCTTACGTTATTATTTTAGATTTTCTTCCTCAGTCCCTTCATGCCAAAACATCAAGATTTTCTGGTGCTTTGCTGGTAAACCGATGATGCAATGAATGAAAAATACATAAATAAAATTTTTTAAAAAACAGGCTTATTAGTGTGATGCTAAGAAGCATGTTTCAAGTTGAGTGCTTTAAGATAGAGGAACTTGATGTCTGAAAAGATATTCAAATAATCCAATTAAATAAAGTCCTAACAGTCAGATAGATGTTCAGTTAGTCATTAATGCTCAGCTTCTCTCCCCTGTGAAAGGCTATGAGGATACTACTGTTCTGACACATCTGCATAGAAACTTTCATAGCAAGAAAACTACACACAAGCTGAACTCTGCCTGACAATTCTCACACATCACACAAACGGGCCATTTAGGGACAACGGTCTTTAAAACAAATTCTCCCTCTCTCTTCACCACCCTCAACAACGCTGTCATTCCCCACAAAACAAACACGCTGCTGTCATTCCTCTGCTCTCGTAGTAACCCCAGCAAATAAGGAGCCAAGGAAAGCCACATCCCACAGAAAACAGGCTGCTCCATGACTTCACTGCATCACTCACCCCCTGAAGCCAAAGGTATGTATCCATCTAAGGCTGGAAACTGGATTTGGTAGTGCTGGTAGAAAGAGCATGCAGCAAATGTGAGGCAGGATGAAATGTAGAACGGTTTTAAAGGAACAGGATGTTTCAAAATGAAACCCTAGCATCCAGAAACCAGTGTTTCCTGGTCTACTGAGGCTGATCAGACAAAGCTGTCACAGCACTGACTCAGCGGGATGAGAAGATTGACAGCTGTCCTCTGTATTCTACCCGTCGGAGCAGATGCACACATCCGCTGGTTAAAGTAGCCGCAGTAACACCAATTCTGTGTGTATTTGTTTCTTTTTAGCCCACATGCATCTAAAATGAGACTTGCAGAGAACACCCAGGTTTAGTAGCAGAAACAAACAAATTGATATAATAATAGTGGTCAGCCTCAGGGAATGCCATTTATTTATTTACAGCATCTAGCTACTCTTCATCACAAAGACTACTTCTCTATTTTAAAGTGAGCAAAATCATAAACTCACTAACGTGAGGGGGTGCTACTAAGAAAAGCAACACTGTGAAGAACAGAGTTATGATTAAGATGGTGTTGCCGAGTTCATTCATCACACTTTCCATGATTCATTTGACTGTACAAACGATGCACAGTTGATAAGTCTAACTATTTAAGCTATATATTGTAATTAATTAACTAAAGTAGTATATTAAATTAGCCTTGTCTCTAATTTATCCTAATTAGTTCCATAGGCCTTACTACAGTAATAAAGCTCCCTAGGAAATGAGGAATTTACAAGCCAATGAAATACACCATTACCGCCAGAGCTTGCTTAAACATTTTTACAACGGTAACACTAAAAGGATCTTTGTATTAGAGATACCTGTATTTTCAATAAAAATATTAAAAGGGAAAAAATGTGTATGTTGTATGGATTACTGAAAGCAAAAAAACACCATTTGTAAAAAAAATAAATAAAAATAAAATACAAAAATGCTCCCTTCTCTTTTTCACATCCACTGAAATTCTGAAGGCCTCTATAATTCAAAATGAAAATGCAACTAGGCACCAAAAAACTGTGCTGTGGTTTATTGTGACAAAGACCTGTAACTGTCAACCGAATGCATCAGAGGCTCTGGAGCCTTGACCTGTAACCACATCCTCTTTCCAAAGCAAAAGAAGTCTTCATGCTGATAGGATGGAAAAGGAGTAGCTAACAACTAAAATAACCCTTCCAGTCTCTGTTCCTGCTGAAGGCTCCAGACAGCAGGCTAGTTTTTTTGTTTGTTTGTTTGTTTTGTTGTTTGTTTTTTTCAAGAGAGAATTCAATTTAATTTTTCATCTTTAAACCCTTGTCATCATAAGATACAATACTATGGAAAAGTTTGCCTAATTTCTTTATACTTTGCTTCCAAAAAACCTGACTCAAGGCTTTTTGAAGTTCCTTTAATATCAATTTTCTTTCCTTTTCCTTTAAAAATCTTTGCCTCCCTTTCATTGCTGGTCAGTCTTCCTGTCCATGTTGTGCTAAAAATGAGGAAAGTGGACAAATGAGGGGTCAAAAGAATAGATGAAAATTAAATAAAACCATGTCACAGCTTTGTCTGCAAGAAATAGGAAAACAAAACCCAGGACTGGAGGGGTGCCTTACTTCTACATCAATCTACTACATACACATTTTCCATTAATTGGTTTTTAGGAATCGCCAAGCTGGTACTACTGTTAAAGATTATCAAATATTCAACAAAGGAAATGGGAGCAAACTGTATTTGTGATTGTGAGATGCTGCTAGTAACCAAAAACTTAAAAAGATCTATTTTTTTTATGTTTTTTTGTTAAGTTGTCTTATATATATTGTATATATATATATGTATAGTCTGTCATTCTCAATGTTCCAACACATTATTATTGATATTGTTTATCTTACTTATATGTTGTTTTTAACATTTAGGAACTTTTGTGTGAATCATTTTTATCTGTTGCTGCTGTAGATGCTGTTACACTTGAATTTGTGGGACAATAAAGGCTGTTTCTATTCTATTCTATATACACAACACTGGTTCATCCACTGAGTTTAGGATGAGTTGCTGGTTTTGCACAGTAATGTGCATGACACAGTCATCAAATAAGAAGTAACCTCTTGCAGACAGACTCATTGCAGATGGGTCTTCTTCACAGGGAGACATGACACTCGGTCTATACAACTGAGCTGCAAAGTGTTTAAAATTTGACGTTGGATGCTGAACATCACTGCCCCTGTAGCAAAAAATATATAAAAATCCTACAGGCTGATACCCAGACAAAGAGAAAGTCATTGTTGCTCTTAGGATATCTCCCTGTGATTCTACCTAATTTCTTAACATACGCTTATCTCTAAGTCATGCTACATTCTTGCAATCTGTGGCTACACGATACTGGGTGCTTATCACAACATGTTGGTTTTTTTCTACTTTTCAAACGTAAGCCTGCTTACCGCTAATTCTTTACAATCCCCAAAATCGTCAATCCCGGCAATCAAACGCAACATCTGTCTACGAGCAACCGCAACAACCCTAAGTCCCGTTATGAAGCTTGTTAGCAAAATACCGCTAACTAGCTGGCTTAAGTGCTAACGGTGTTGTGCCGAAAAATGCACCCCCATCGTGAAACGCAACCTCACTCGTAGAAAGAGCACTTAAAAGGCAATGTTAGTCATCAAAACATATTAGATAAACATCAAAAGTGGCAAATAGGACATGTACATCTGACCATCCGTAAGCACAAGATTATTCACAGTTAACGTCATGTAGGCTGCTTTTTATGGCAAGGGTGCTTTTTTCGGCACAACACCGACACTTCATTACACCGTTAGCAGGCAAGCTAACTAGCCGACACGTTCCTTTCCCTCTGCGTATCAAAACACAGCGAGCCTTTCACAAACCCGCAACACCCCAGATCGTTAGAGCATTCAAACGCCAACCAAACACACCGAGCTGCAAAAACAGCCCGCCATACTGGTGTGTACTTTCCTGGGAAAGATACAGCCGATAGCTAACGTTACCTGCCCTTCCGCCTGGCCTTGACTAAAATGGGAGTGCACAATCCGTTATTTTTTTTTATACTTGACAAAAATGTTTTCTTCATTTACCCGGATGGAACGAAGCGCAACCGTGACCGCGTTCTGCCCCACGGGTGTCCACGACACAGTCTCCCGAAAAGGCGACTTATCCGACCGCGTTTAGTAAAGTTTGGCACCGCACACTCACCGTCTCTGGCTCCGCTGTCTCTCTCGCGCCGCTCCGCAAGTGTCAAGTTGGAGAGTTCTTCTTCTTCGCCTCCAGCAGCGTCTGTCTGAGCGCAGCGGACGTCACCGTCACTGGTTCTCATTATTCTTAAACGGGCATGACACATGAACCCGGCATGAAAACATAAACACGGTGGATTCATTCCGGCAATTGTTATTTTACTAACGCGGGACGTTTTCAACCCATCTTCTCTAATATAAAGTGGTATACTGGATGTAAACATAAACACGGACTAAAAGTAAAAATGTTGATGAAACTGAGGGCAATTACTCAAATACTGTGGGATGACTGCACCTTATAGTTTTTAATTACCAGGTTAAAATAAGTTTAGTAGGTATAAAAACAAATGGTACTGTGCCTATGTTTTGTTTTGTGTGGTCTTATTTTAAATGAGCTGCAAGGGGTGTCACCAAAAGGGGAGCTAGGGGAGGAAATCCCCACCGACACTGGCCCCCCTTTTATCCTCAAGCCCCATGTTTTTGTTGGCGAGTATTTTTATAGTCTAACTAAATAGGATTAGTAAAACCTAATTAATATCATGAAAAAAAATTAAGCAATCAGAAGTTGAAAATATACATATTATATTCAAAATAAAAAAATACTACCTAAAATCTAATTCTCTTGAATACAGACAGCCAATCTTAAACCAGTGCCTTCAGCATTAGGATGCAAGGTCTCAGGTGTTTATGCATAACATATTTTTAGAAATATAAATTGAGTAGTGACAGAGCTTTTCTCAACTTGTTGTCAGTACTGTTGACGATCGATTTAAAATTGAGGGTGTTGTGATTTGTAGAGTTAATGAGATGAAATTTTTGGGTGTAATCATTGATGAACAGCTAACATGGAAAAATCACATAAATTCTGTAAGAATAAAAATATCTAAATCTATTGCAGTACTATACAAAGTCAGGGAGTTATTAAATGATAAAGCTCTGTACATGTTGTATAATACAATCATTGTTCCACATTTAATCTATTGCATTGATGTTTGGGGGAAAGCGTGTAAAACATTTACAAAGCCTATTTTTATTTTACAGAAAAGAGCTGTAAGAATTATCACCAGAAAGCATTACAGTCACCCATCAAGCACATTATTTTATCTACTGAAGTTACTGAAGTTCCATGATTTGGTAGATTATAGTATTTTATCAGTTATGTATAGGGCTCAAAATAACACATTAACATTAAATATCCAAAGAAATTTTGTTAAAAGACAAAGTTGTTACAATCTTAAGGGGATAGAGATATTTGTCAAACCAAAATTCAGAACTAGTCTGAAAGGAAGGTCTAGCTCAATCCAAGGAGTTGGATTGTGGAATGGTTTAGAGAGTGATGTGAAAAATGCCAAGTCAATGGGTACATTTAAGAAAAAGATCAAAGCTGAATTGTTAAAAAAAAAAAAAAAGTAGCAGCTTAGTGTGTTTTTTGTATTAGAATTAGAAAAATTAAAAAGAGTTATTCATTTTGTTCTGTCACTTGAAGATTATTATGATTGAAATAATTGTTTGAAAAAAGGGGCAGATATAATAAGATTTTTTCTTCTTTCTGCTGCCTTTCATTTTAAATCCCTTGTATTTATTTTATTTATTGTTATGGAATTGTTTAGTATTTTTTTGAATGAATAAACTTTATAACATACCATACTATAACTTGTAATATCTGTGAAAATAATATTTAATTCAGTTTATTTATATAAGGCCAAGTCCCAACAGAAGTCATCTCAGGGCACTGTACAGAAACATAAAACTATTATAAAAACTAAAGTAGACATACATCAGAAGCTGATTCCCAAACTCCTGTATTGCCGTTTTTGTCAAATAACCCTATAAATGACAACAGCACAACTGTTTATGCTTATGTTTAATAAATGTATTAATGTTAAATGGTTATTGTTGCACTGGGGTCTGAGAGAAATGTAATTTCAATCCTGTGTATGTCCTGTACATATTGCAGCTTTTGACAATAAAGTGACTTTGACTTTGAACTCTCCAGAAATTTTGTTCTAGCTTTTGGTTTTGGTGTCCCAGTGCCGCCCCAGGTTTTTCAGTGGCCCCTACATGGCCACCCCAATAAAGATTTTCTGGAGGCACCAGTTTGCACCTGGAAGTGATTTCTTCCTCTATTAAACTTTTTTTGGTTTTAGGTAAAAGATCAAACGCCCAATCATTTTCCTGAAAATAACAGGGAAAGAGTAAAAATTGTACTACAACTGTAGGACATTTTATTTTGTATCGTTTTTTCCGAAAACCTTAGATTAATCTTGTATTTGTATAAGAAGTTCCATGTCCAGGTACAGCAGTAACATACACAATAAAAATTCAAAGATTCATAGCAATCAAACAATTTTTTACAACAATTTAGAAGTTGGATATCAAGTCAGTAATTTTTCAGTAATACTGCTACATTTTTTAAGAAGGATTTTACACGCAAGAATTTTAGAAATACTTCATTAATCGTGTTTTTCTGTCGTCCAGTTTCTACACTGCATGAGTTGCAGCAGTTGTAAGTTTTTTTATGGAAACCATAAACAGATGTTTCTAGTCCCTGAGGAGATAAGCATGTCTTGAACTTTGAGCAGTGGATTTGATTCAGACATAATTAGTTTTCATAAAAACAAGTCTGATTGGTTATCTTTTCATAAAAAAATAAAATAGTCTTAAAGAGTTAATAATTTCTAGTTCTAAAAATGCTTCAACTTGGAAAATTTGGAACTTTTGTCACAACACCAAAGTCTAAATAATATTAAAGCAACAAGCTTTTTTTTAAATAGCTGAAACAATTAATCAGCAAATGACACTTGGAAAATAGAAGGGTAATTTAGAAAACTTAATGTCTGCTTGTTTCATTCTCTCAAATGTATTTGCTTTTGTTACTGTGAGTGTAATTTATACCCATAGATTATAAACTTCTAAAATTACTGATTACTTTTAGGAGAAACACACATTAAAATAGTTTCATAAAGAAATGTGAAGCGATTACCTGCTTTCGTCTTTCGATTGCACTTGATGTTGAATAAATGAGTACCTTACACATTAATTTGTAGACCTAAATTTATCAATTAAAAAAAAAAACATGCCAGCAGCAATACTGATCACAACCACATTTCTAAATGACACTGACATTGCATCACATTTCTTTTACATCCAGTGTCCTTCATGTTAAGCAGTAGCAGATGAGTGACACAAACATTAAAGAATGTAAAAGAAAAGTGCTCCCTTATGAGCCCTTTTGCTCAACATTGGCAAGGATATTTTTACAAAGAGGTCCCTCTAGTGGACCATAGTGGCCAAATTACCACTTGCTAAATTTTTTTTTTTTTACTTTGCCCACCTAATCTTGACTAAATTTAATAGTACTACTGCATTCACAAAACTTTGGACACATTAGTTTACGTCTTTATTGTACCATAGTACCATAGTACAATCTGCAATACAGATTTAATACAATATGATTCAATCCCTTGCTTGACTTTCTCCATTCAAATGAAGCCTGTGCCATTCTTCATCAACATAATGTGTTGAATGTAAAAATCACTGTCACATCAAACAGAACAGTCCAATGAATGTCTTTACAATCTAAAATAAATAAAAACACTTTAAAGCAAACAAATGTTTTAGGAATGGCATTGAATGGGACAGAAATGTGCCTTTATAACGCTGAATAAAACGTAAAGTTCAAAGTGTTTTTGACCAGCCCAAGCATGTGACATATTAAAGGTAAATGAAGACTGACATAAGTGAACACAAGCGGAAAGCCTTTACTGTATCTATACATAATACAATGTGTTTTCCATGTGCAATATCTTTTTTTCTAGAGATTCAGCACTATTAGAGCTCATCTCATTGGGTATGTACTATATGTGAACAAAAAGCACACCTCATTTCCACGAGCTCACACATATCAAACACATTTCACTATGTTTGTAACACAGAGTGCTGGGTGACGCTGACGCACATGACAAGGCAGAGAGTGGCAAGAGGCAGATCTGTAGATGGCTTGTGAAAGAAGGTAAATGAAGATAAGCACTGTCCTTCACTTCTCTGGCAGTTCATGATGGAGAGTATAGTTTCTACTGTGTACTTTGTAACTTCAGCAAGGAATTCAAAAAATGGTCTAGTGATTAAAGGAGTGAGGTGGTCCTATCAATGATATTGTTTGTGGTCGCCAAAAGGAGAGGTGGGATCTTCTGCAAACTGGGGTCCTGGAGAGAAAAATAAAATCATAATCACAGAAACATAAAAGCCAGTTTTAACCATATTTTAAGAAATATTTAATTGTCTTGTAAAATCACCTGTTTAACTATTTTTATTCTTGTTACTAGGAATGCGCAACATAAACGGTATACAGTAGAAATGATAGAAATTTAGCCTACGATAGAGATCTGTCTTCTACCGGCTAACCGCAGTAATGCTGTGTCCGAGTTGTCAGTTTAATCGTTACTTTTTTTTGTTGAAAACTGTGCATAAGTGGTGTTCAAGTGTAAAATCAGAGCTGTCAGATTTAATCGTTACTTTTTTTTTGTTGAAAACTGTGCGCAAGTGGCGTTAAAGTCTATTCTTCGAGAGCTAAGTAGCAAAGCTACAAGCTAACTAAACCAAAAACATATTGCGATATATATCGTTATCGCCACCCTTCACAATACATATCGTGATATGAATTTTATGCCATATCGCACATTCCTACTTGTTACAACATTTAAAACAAATACTAATTACAACCTAAATAGATTTTTATTAGATCAGATGCACCAAATTTGTGCATCGTCGTTTCAAACTATGGAAAACACTTGCATCTTTTCAGCTTTTGAGCTTGATGTTCAAAATATGTTCAAGATTAAGAGAAATACAGGTTTTAGCAGACAATCATTTGCTAAACTTTTCATAATGGTTTATAAATTCTGTTATTTTGGTTTTCATAGATTTCAATCTAACACTAAGCACTAATATAACTTAAAATGTTGGCGGAACTTAATATTAGTACTGAGCAACCTATTACCTTATAAAACCTTTTGAATACTCACTGTATGCAACACAAACATTACTGGTACGCCTTTGCTACTCTTGTTTCAACATAGAAAAAAAAACTCTGAAGAGTCAATTGCCGTTTTACTTCTCATACAATGGTCAGAAATCAAAAACAAAAATTAGTTACCAGCTAAACTAAAAACAAGCAAACAAAAAAAGGGACAGTCAACATATTTTCTATGGTGTAGAGGAACATTTGACATGCCTCCATTGTTTAATTGAAAAACTATAACAGATATTTTTGCCTGGAGACAAGAGATAGTTTTGTGCAAACATTAGAATACATGGAGGTGAGTCACTCTCCTACAGTAAAGTAAACATGCGTATCTGGGTGATGAGTTACAAGATGTGAAGCTACTGTACAGCAGACGCTTTCCTCTTTGCCAAAGCAAAAGTCATTCTTTATTTAGAGACATTTAAATGTAGACAGCCTGATAGCTGCAGAACAATGAAATTACTCACAGACATCCTGTCAATAATGTTTCAAGATGGAAATCATGGCCAGTTTGTCCAAAGAGGAATGTCACAAATAATCACAGTACATTTTATTTCAGACATAACAGTCTACACTCTCCAAGTCATTTTATGGTACACACTCTGCTAGTATTAAAGGAATAGCTCACCAGTTGGGAACTGTAAAGAGGCAGTTCTTACGAGCAGGAGTCCAGAACCCTCTATCAACGCCAGCAAAATACCTCCCATAGCTGCAGAGCCAATCATAGCAACTGGTCCATCTACACAAGAACACACACATATATTTATCTAGAACATCAATATACAAATTTGTGGTTTTCTAAGAAAAACACATAGCAGATATACAGAAATTATGAGTAAAAGCAAACTGATGATTTTAAATTGAACTATTTTAATGCATGGTATATTATGTGTTTTCTGTCAGCATCCATTTAGCATACTCACTTCTTGCAGCAAGAATAGCTCCGGTCATGGCCCCACTTGTTATTAAATTCCAGGGATCCTCCTTCCCTCGTATTTTCATTAAACTACAGTCAATCATGGAAAAGAGGCCTCCCCACACTGCAAAACTGCCTGCAACGCACACACAGAGAAAATCATTAAGGTTTCATCACCTGTATGATTTTTAAATTATCTTTTCTCCTTAAAATAAACTGTACAAAAAGTTTTTGATTATTCCATCCATTGTAAATAGTATTACTTTTAGTATACTTTTACATAACTAATTATAATACAAAACAGTAGAAAAAAGGATTATGCTGCTGCCTGTCAGGATATTTAATATGTATTCTTACTAGGGGTGCAGAATTTTTTTTTTTTTTTTCGATGAATCTAGATTCTTAGTGCTGGCGATTCTGAATCATTTCTAAAGGCCCATAAATCAATTTTAAAATGCATTTAAGTTTTATATTTTTCCGCTCCTACTCCCCGTTCGGCCACTGTAGAATTGAGCCGTGTAGGCCACCGTACAGCAAGCTAGTTAGCCAGCTCCCTTTATCGAATGGAGCCTTCTAGCATGGAGGAGGGGGACAGCGCGATTCAACCCGCTGCTTCGTCTTTAAAAATCATTTCAGATTCTAGAATGTTCTGGGCGAAGACAGAGCTTTACATGAGCACAGTTGTTTACAAGAAGCGTAAAATAAAATTGCGGTACAGTATTTTGGAAATATGACAAAATGCATGGAAGATGAAAGCGAAGCAGCCGACCAGTGAACTCTGCAACAAACTTCCAGGCTTCTCCAAAGGCTGTGAAGATTTCCCTCTCCATTTCCTGCTGTATCACAAAGGATTAATGATCAGACAGCTCAGTGGAAGGTGAGGGGTTTAGGTTTATTTTTAATACGATGGACCCAATGTAGGTTATTCCTTCACGTAGATTTTTTTTTTTTGCGATAAAGCAGCACCACAACTTCACCATGAAACAACAAATGGGAGAAGTTCTGATGCAGCTGCAACTCAAAGGTAAAGGTTTTTTCTCATACTATACTAAAACTTATAGACAAGTTGTACAACAAATTTAATGTAATTTGTCTTTTTAACAGGTTGAAGAGGTCAGATGAGACACATCTCCTGGATCCAGTGCTAAATGATATAATTTATGGTTTATAAATTACGGTTCAGAAGTTTTTGTGCAGGTTTCCACAGGTTTTGAAATTTTGTTAAAGATATACTAAATATGAATCAATATGGTTAAGACTGAAGTCTGTATATTTCATATTAGGTTGTTTTGAAAATATAACAAATGTTAGAGCAATATGGTTAAAAATAACTGAAGTCTGTATTTCATGTTAAGTTAAAGGTTAATGTACTGTGGTAGGCTGAAGTCTGTTTACTTTTAAATTTATATATTCTGAATTATTTGTCTGTGATGGACTGGAGACTTGTCCAGGTGTCCCCCACCTCTGACAGAGTGATGGCTGATATGGGCACCAGTGACACCCGTGACTCAAAAGGAAGAAGTGGGTAAAGATGATGGATGGATAAATTATTTGTTCCTAGATTATTTTATTTATTTATTTTTTTTTTTTTTATTCAGGCAACGAAGATAACCTAATACTGGTAATTTAAGTTGCAGAATTTTATGCACTCCTATATTTTTTTCCTATTTTTGGTATAAATATAAAATGAATAAAAAATATTTGATACAGTAAAGAACCTAAAATTATTGTTTTAAATAAATGTTCTATTTGTTTACATTGTTGTTTAATCTTTTCAGCTTGTCAGTTACATATACATTATAAATGAAACTAAATTTATGACCATTTCAATACAAAAATCGTTTCTGAATCGAAAATCGTTTCTGAATTGAAAAATCAATTTTGAATCATATCGTGACACCAAAAATCAGAATCGAATCGGATTGCCAGACACAGAGATTTGCACCCCTAATTCTTACCGCCTAGTTTTGGAGCTCTGGTCTTGATGGCAGTCAAACTACCCCTCATCCTGTGGCTCATCCCCTGAAGAACGGCAAAACAAAAACAGTTCAGTTTAACCTAGTGTTCAGTTCAGGGTTTTTCAGTTTTTTATTGAAGTAATAAAAAAATAGATAAGGCGTTAAAGCAATTATTTTCTTAGTCAGGTACACAGACCTCTTCTCAAACATCACAGTATCCTTGAGCAAAATTCTGAGCCACAAGGCCAGTGTTTTTATAGTGTCGAGAAGTACTTACCATCGGTGACCTTTGGCAGTTCCTGATGGAGCTGAGTCATTGGCCACCTGGATAAAGGTACTTGTTTATTTAGCTTCCTGTAGTCTATGGTAAGTCTCCACTTACCATTTGGTTTTAAAACTGGCCATAGAGGCGCAGAGTAGGTGCTATTACATTGTCTGATTATACCTTTGACCAAAAGGTCATCAATGATCTCCTGGACAGGCTGGTGTGCCGCCAGAGGGATCTTGTATTGTCTGACAAATGTTGGCGGTGCATTGAGTGGGGTTGGGATTCTCACTGCATGGAGTGAGGTCAACCCACAATCTGTTGAATCAGTTGAGAATGACTTTTCATATTTTAGAAGAACTTGGCGTAGTTTGTCTCTTTCTTCATCAGATGTCAGAGCGTCGGCTTGGGCGACCACCTGATCAATCTGTGATGAGACTGTTAAGGGTTCTTGCTCCTTGGGGAGCTCCAATGAATCCCTTTCTGAGTCGTCGGGCCTGTCTATGGGTAAGACACCATAGGTTTGAGGTCCTTGGTCGACATCATTGGTTGAGAAAAGAGCTATGGCCTGTGTTGGTTTTGTGAACCATACTGGCCCGGCTTCTTGACTCGGTACCAGATTGTCTGGGAGTCCTCCCAGAAATGGAATGCCTAGTTCAAAATCATGAAAGTCAGTTGAAATCAACCATCCTAGCATAGTGTTTTTTGGGATCAGCACCTCATCCATGCCAGTGTTACACACAGCAATAGATGTGGTCCTGGAGTCAAGACTCACCTGGTTCGTGGATTCCACGGACAGTCCCAAGTTGAAAAATGCAGGAGAGGGTTGAAAATATGCCTGTTTATGGCTAATAGCTTGTCCGGCTATTATGTGGATTCGCACCATTAGGTTAAGCACCTGAGGTGGTACTGTGGTGTCTTGGTTGCTAGCAACTTGGCAGGCCTCTGGAATGGTCTGCCCAGCCTTAAGGCTCACTGTGTCTAGCACAGGAGTATCCTTTGTGGCTGGTTTGAGGGACCACAGCACCTTGTTGATGGTGTCCACGTGAACACCTAACCTTACCAAAATGTCAGAGCCTATGTAGGATGCATGTGGTAAGTTTTGGATAACGAGAAATGGGTGAACCAGTTCTCGTTGATTCCAGTTCAGTTTTAGGTTAATGACTCCTTCTGCGGTCATTACCTGTGAACTATTGGGAACTAATGGAAAGCGGAAAGCTTTTTTAATTAGTTCTAGACCAACGTGTTTGTGAACCAAGGTTTCGTAGAAAGCTCGGTTAATTGCTGATTTATCTGTCCACAGAGACAGTACAGCATCGTTGGTGTGGGACCCTTGGATCTCTACACCCTTAACTACCAGTGGTAGGTAGTGTTTGGTGGACTCTGACTGTTCCAGCTCACAGAGGAGGCTGTCTTGTTGAGTCAGAGTTTGGACCACTTGGGTTTCTTTGGTTTCACATGGTGTCAGAGGAGTACTCACCGGGCTCGTGTCCTCGGCTGAGGAGTCCTTTGTGCCTTCCGCGGTACCTGCTGTTGGGCAGTCTGTGTCACTCTCCGGAGGCGTATCTATTGGCAGTGGTTTGCTCACTTTTGTCCACATTGTTTGATCACCATAATCTATAATCGCATTAAAGCGATTTATAAAATCCTGGCCAACCAAAAATGGGAATGAGTCAACATGGGTCACGTGTACCGGATGGTACAGTGTCATATTGCCAATCTGCATGTGAACCATTGCTATAGCTGTCAGGGTTGTTTTCATTTCTGAGAGACCCTGCATTTCTATAGCACATTCAGAGAGAGGTATTATCCTGTTAACACTGGCAGCGGCCGTCCTCAGCTCCTCGAACAGTTTAGCTGACATAATTGTTATGTCTGCCCCACCGTCCAAGAGTGCTTCGTGTGTGAGGACACCTTCGAGTGTTACTGACAGGTACGCCTTTTTGGCGGCCCCCTTTCTGATAAAGTTACACAGAAACCTCTTGGGTTTTTTCTGACGCTTCTTCTCGCGTTCAGATTTATCTGTGTAATCTTGGTTTGTCTGAACCGTCAGCACAGCAGAAGCTGTTTCTGAGTGTTCAGCTTGCGATGACTCGTCATCGTTTGTCTGTGTGTTTACCCCCCCTTCTTCAGATGAGGGGTTGTTTGAGTCAACAACAGTTATGTCTTGGTGTGTTTCACCGACATCTGTTATGTTGTCATTCGCGCCATTAGATGTAATGGGAATTACATCACTGCAAAGTGCTCCTGGTTGGGTTCCCGTGTCAGTGTGTTTCAAAGTTTCTAACAACCTGCGTATTTTCTCTGTCTCTTCCGAGTTTAGAGGTGTAGGGCCTTGTTTCTGGAACTTTTGTGATTTTTTCGCCTCGGTTCGTTTCGTCCGAGGTGGGGGACGGTCGGGTACGTCTTTCGGGGGTTCCTTTACGTACTGCCCCTGCCGATATGGTTTCTCATATCGTTGCGTCCTGCGCTCACCCCATTTACGATAATCACGTTCATCCTCTGAAAGAGGAGCATTTTTGTCCCAACGTGCACCTTCAGTACGTGGTTTGTTATTTTGAACAGACTGTTTCCTCTCTTTCTTAGGAGGAGGTGGCGAAGCACGTCGTCCTTCTAGTTCAAGAGAGTGGGGTTTAACCTTTACACTAGGAAACACTTCAATGGGCGTCTTATCATGAGAACATGCTTCAAACACATTCACAGCACACTGTTTAATCTCACTGATGGATTTTTCTCTGAAATTTGCCATCATTTGTACTGATTTTTTAAAATCAGAGTGGAGATTTTTGGTGAAAACAAACTTAAAACCATCATCTTCTTCCATTCCGGTCTCATTCCTGTTACCAAAATAAGCTTGGAAGATTCTTTTGTAATAAACTTTTGGATGTTCATTCTTGCCCTGCGTGACCTTGTCAGCGGCTGGAAAACCAGCAGGTCCCGTGCAAGAGTCATACTCTTTGATCAGAGCCTCACACAGAAGGTTATAATCCCTCCTCGTTGCATCTGGCAGACGCTCGATGAAGGTGAACACCTCTCTGTCCGAAGTGAGTCGTATCAGACTGATTTTATCCTCTACCGTAGCAGTAGGATAAGCTCTCAATCTGAAATCCAGATCTTTGAGATACGCTTTTGTTCCTGCTGACCCCATAGGGCCGGGAACGAAACGTTGTACATATTTTGAGACTTTCTGCAAATCATCCATTGAAGGAGACTGTATCAACGGTCTCACATGCGTGATTGGTGCAGATTGGTCAAGGCCTACTCCTACCGCCCATGGTGGGGGTGGGGGTGGCTGATAAGGAGGAAGAGGTGCATATCGGTGCAGTTCTGTCCCTACCGCCCATGATGGTGGTGGGGGTGGGGGCATGGTGTCAGGAGGAAGAGGTACATATTTGTGCAGTTCTGTCCCTACCGCCCATGGTGGGGGTGGGGGTAACGGCGTGTTGTCAGGAGGAAGAGGTGCAACAGCATCTGACTGGAGAGTTCGTGGCTGTCTCGGACCCTGATACTGTTCGTCTTTGAGTCTTAGACCAGGCCGCCCCATGTCAGAAATCTGGTTTATAGCTGTAGCTAAATTCTCCTCACAAGCTTTCAGGTCCTCCTGTGATGTCTGATATTTTTTTACTAAAGTCAGCCATCGTCGGAGTGATTCCGTTTTGTCTGCTTTGCAAACGTCCAGCTCCTTCAAGGCGGTCTGTAACTGTGCTTTCAGCACGTCGTTATCTGAACGCGAGGCTTGGTACGCTTGTTCTCTATCCTCTGCTTCCGATAGTGATGCTTCAAGTACTTGTAGTTTGCTGTTCAGCAAAGCAATTTCTGTACTTGTATCTTGCTGTAACTGAAACATCTGTTCATAATGTTTCGTCATGAGGACCTCGTGTTCATTTCTAAATTGACGGACGTATTCTTCCGTCTTTTGAGCCAAATCTATTTCACTGTCTAACCTTTGTTTGATTATAACAGTTTTATCAACGGCCTTATAGAATGATTCTTTCAGCAAGATTGCAATTTTAGCCAGCTTTTCATAACTGGACTTTGTGATTTCTGCAGAGGTCACACTTTCTGCAACCTCCTTCAGATTGTCCACTAACTCTTTTGGGTTCATGCGCTCTGTCTGAGTCATAAATGGATGTAAGGACTCTCCGAGAAGCGCGAGCGCATTCTCCAAGTAGTCCGCAATTCCTTTTGTGTCAAAATCTTTTTCTAACACACCTGCCATGTTTTCACTGTGTAGCAATTTATCTGTTTGAACAGTTGCAAGCTTTAGATATTTTACAGGTAAATATTTGTATTCAAGTCAATGAGTTTTCACACTTATTTTAGCTTTGGGTTTACACAGAAGTACTGTTATAAGTCACTTATTCAACTGTGGGTACCTTTCTCAGGTTTTACCCCAATTCATGAATATTTAAGTAAACGCTCTTTTGGCAGTGTTACTTTTTGTGCTTATTTTCCACAGATCCTAGAGTACCAAGCTGTTTTTTGTGTATCTTACTCTAAAACACTGAATTTTTTATAAACCTGCAAATTTTCTTTTAGTCTCACAGCAATATTAGTTTAAAACATTTTTTAAACCGTTCTGTTCCAGAAATTTGCTATTTTAAACAGTTACTCAATCAACCCAGGTGGGTGAAAAGAGAAAAGAATTTGATGATGAGGAATAATCAGTCTTTCTTCAGAAAAACTGTCTTTGCTCCTGTATAGCTTCTATTTAAAATTAAATAGAGAGATATTTTATTTAGGTGGTAAATTAAACAGAAAATCTCTTTTTCCTGATAAATTTACTCTTATTTAGTGATTTTGCAATTAAACGTGTATTATCCTTCAAGCAAAATGAGTAAACTGTTCAACTCTGTGAATATTTGTAACTGTATCTGTTTTAAAAAGTTAATGTTTATTTTTGTACCTTATTTTTAAAGGATTAACAGTGAAATAAACTTTTGGTGAATGCTTCTCTGCATAAATACCTATTACTTTTTAAAATGTAAGATAACAGTGTTTTATTCAGCTTTGAGGAAGTTTGTTAACTCAGAATTTGCCTTACAGAAAAATAAAAAGACGTTTAATTTCACTCTTTACCTAAAAAACGAAGTGAAATCTGTGATCTCACGTCTCGCCAGGAGATGTCAGTATTTCCTCAACAATTATAACTCCGTCACTTTTTGTGTTGTCCACAAGGGGTGCTATAACTTCCTGTGGCGTTCGGTTGACATCCTGTTGTTAGCCGCTTAGCTTGAAGTTAGCTTCGGCTAAACTCGGTCAAAATCAACATTTCTGAACGGATTTTTTACACAAACGTGGCAAAAGTTTTTGCAATCAGACTTTATAGCTTGAACATGAGTGTTTGGGACTGATAGTAGCTTCATTTAGTGATTTTAAGCGTAGTTTTAAGCTCCGGTCGTTAGCTTGTTAGCTTAAAATTAGCATCGCTAGCTTTGTTTAAAAACATCGTTTTTTGGCGAATTTTAAACTCTAACGTAGCAAAATTTCAGCAAGCAGGCTTCGAAGCACTTGACCAGCGTGTCAAAACCACATTAAAGTTACTTTTCAGCTTTTAGAAGCAGATTTTATTTCCCTATGAAAATGAATTTCATATCCGGGTCACGTGACTGAAATCACCAATGGCAGCAGCGTAGGGTGAGAGGAAGTGACGTAGCACGTCAGTCAAACTTCTCAACCAATGAAAGCGCTCCACAACAGCGAATTCAACCAATCAGGAAGCGTTTTCTCTACCTAGCAAGTTAGATTAGCTTAAAATAGTTCGTCACTTTTTCGTCTTTTAAACCATCAAAATGCACTTTTTCTGCTAAAAAATGTAACGAAACAACTTCTAACTGTGTTCTGAGATGGCACTCAGCTTTTAAAACGTTTATCCATCTATTCAAAATACTCGTTCAAACTGAACAGAACCGAACTGGTCACAGCCGGGTCTTAAAGCAGAACCTCGTACTTTTTAGACAGAATAACGTCTTCCACAGCTCATTAGCTCTTAGTTACACATAACAGACGTACCATTTCAGCTTACACAAGACTTATGACACAATTTCAGCTTTTAAGACATTGCCAGCCCAACGCTTAAACATGCAGCGTTTAGCTGCAGAGTGCAGCTCCAAGCGCGCAGCTCAGCCGCTGCGTAAACTTTACAGCTCATCAGCTGTTACTCTTTCACCATGCCAACACGTAAAATCAATTTACACACGGATTTAACAGTCATTCACCATCCCCGTACGGGCCACCAGTTTGTAGTGAGACACGTGAGGTACGTGTCACTTGTTGTATGACAAATATATGAATTATATATGCATACAATATTCACGAGTTCTTCATTTTTCTGACTGTAAATGTCGTGCATTGAATTTAACAGAAATGTAACGAGAGACGTTGTTTATCTTTGACCCATCAAATGAATGGAATCATTTATTCTCAGAATCAAAGTTTAACATCAAACATTTACATTAATTTGGCAAAATATGAAAATAATAACAGACAGTTTCACAGAAAATGAACTTCAAATCACTCGGCGGTGATTTGAGGACTTTGCTTCAGACATTTCTAAAAATATCTGTACAGATTTATGAGAGAGAAGAGTTTAAGATTAAATTGAGATTTATCTTACAGAGGAAATGTGTGAGGGAATTTAATCTGTTTAACCAGAAGTTGCACGCTCCGTCCGATCTCAGCTTCTCACGGTACACTTGGTCAAAATAGAACCATCTACCTGTTGACGATGAATCAGCGTTGGATGTAGTTCCTTTCTGACTCGTTTCAGCGTCTCCGTCGAGAGCTACCAAACCTTCAGAAAGTCGTGCGTTGATTAGCTCAAAACAGAATTATAATCCCCAAAAAACCTCTGGATTCTTCATTGCTCTGAAGCTTTCAGAACCGACTGCATTCTCAATCTTGGAACTCTCACATTCTCTTGGACTCTGGAATTCATAATTCTCTAAAACTCCATGCTTCTCTTCTCTATCTCCAATGAACTGAGAAGTTGCCACATTTTATTTGGGTCGACTTCCTGTTCAATTTAGAGCTTTCTGATTCGTGGAAGGACCAGAAAGAGGAGTGGATTTGTGACGTAAGATGTTATCATAAGTCAAGGATTGTTTACAACATACAGAAAAGATTATTGCAGCAACAGCAGACTTCGTGGAGTCTCACACTTTGTAATCTTTTCAAATAGTAAAACATGACATTTTTCTCGGTAAACATTTTAGTTGACCGAAGACCAACCTTTCACATACTTACGACAGCTTGCTCATTTCAGACAGAAAATCAAGAAAGGCATATTCAGGTGATTTCTTCTCTGAATGAGGAACAAAAATCATTACTTACTGTTTATGTAAAAGCAAAATTAGTAGTTCTTTTCAACCTGTAAAGCATTGAGTGAACTAACACAATTTGATTATCAAAACATTTGTAAGACAGTAATGATTATAGAGGATTGTCTTTTCTGCTTGATTAATTCAAGAAAGAAAGTTCATCAGATGGTTCAGACTTATTCAGATCAATGAAAATAACAGTCTCTGTCCATCTGGTAGATTTGAGGTTATCTGGTTCACTACACGAGTGAATAAGAGAACGCCCATATACTTTGTGGCTGTTAACTTACTGAAGGAGCATTCCTGAAGCCCTTTACTGCCTGAAAAATTCCTCCTCCAATAACTCCCATGGTGAAAGCTCCACCAGAGTCATCCACAATCCTCCAGGGGCTAAAAGTGAAAAAAATATGTACTTATATTAATAATTCAACAGAAATTAATATTCATACACAGTCTGAAGCAATTTTTACAAAACCTAATCCATCTTGGATTTTGATAGCAAGTTAAAATTTATGTTTCTATAATGATTCTAAATAAATACACCTTTTGAAAGTTCTATGTATTTCCATCATTGTATGTTCCTACACAATGACAAAATTTAAAATCTTATTGAAAATATGACAGTTCCATGATAAAAAAAATTACAAACCGGATTCCAAAAAAGTTGGGACACTAAACAAATTGTGAATAAAAACTGAATGCAATGATGTGGAGATGGCAAATGTCAATATTTTATTCGTAATATAACATAGATGACGGATCAAAAGTTTAATTAGTCTGAGTAAATGTAACATTTTAAAAGGAAAAATATGTTGATTCAGAATTTCAGTGTCAACAAATCCCAAAAAAGTTGGGACAAGTAGCAATAAGTGGCTGGAAAAAGAAAATTGAGCATACAATGAACAGCTGGAAGACCAATTAACACTAATTAGGTCAATTGACAACATGATTGGGTATAAAAAGAGCTTCTCAGAGTGTCAGTGTCTCTCAGAAGCCAAGATGGTAAGAGGATCACCAATTCCACCATTGTTGCGCAGAAAGATAGTGCAGCAATACCAGAATGGTGTTACCCAGCGTAAAATAGCAAAGACTTTAAGTTATCATCATCAACCGTGCATATCATCATCAAAAGATTCAGAGAATCTGGAACAATCACTGTGCGTAAGGGTCAAGGCTGTAAAATTCTACTGGATGCTCGTGATCTCCGGGCCCTTAAACGTCACTGCACCTCAAACAGGAATGCCACTGTCAAGGAAATAACAGAATGGGCTCAGGAATACTTCCAGAAAGCATTGTCAGTGAACATAATCCACCGTGCCATCCGCCGTTGCCAGCTGAAACTCTACAGTGCAAAGAGGAAGCCATTTCTAAGCAAGCTCCACAAGCTAAGACATTTGCACTGGGCCAGGGGTCATTTAAAATGGAGTGTGGCAAAATGGAAGACTGTTCTGTGGTCAGATGAGTCACGATTTGAAGTTCTTTATGGAACACTGGGACGCCATGTCATCCGGACCACAGAGGGCAAGGATAGCCCAAGTTGTTATCAACGCTCCATTCAGAAGCCTGCATCACTGATGGTATGGGGTTGCATGAGCGCTTGTGGCACGGGCAGCTTGCATGTCTGGAAAGGCACCATTAATGCAGAGAACTATGTTCAGGTTCTAGAACAACATATGCTCCCATCTAGACATCATCTCTTTCAGGGAAGACCCTGCATTTTTCAACACGATAATGCCAGACCACATTCTGCAGCAATCACAACATCATGGCTACGTAGGAGAAGGATCCGGGTACTGAAATGGCCAGCCTGCAGTCCAGATCTTTCACCTATAGAGAACATTTGGCGCATCATAAAGAGGAAGGTGCGACAAAGAAGGCCCAAGACGATTGAACAGTTAGAGGCCTGTATTAGACATGAATGGGAGAGCATTCCTATTTCTAAACTTGAGAAACTGGTCTCCTCTGTCCCCAGACGTCTGTTGAGTGTTGTAAGAAGAAGTGGGGATGCCACACAGTGGTAAAAATGGACTTGTCCCAACTTTTTTGGGATTTGTTGACGCCATGAAATTTGGAAACAACAGATTTTTCCCTTAAAATGATACATTCTCTCAGTTTAAACTTTTGATCTGTGATTTGTGTTCTATTCTGAATAAAATATTAGATGTTGGCACCTCCACATCATTGCATTCAGTTTTTATTCACAATTTGTTTAGTGTCCCAACTTTTTTGGAATCCGGTTTGTAAAAAATAAAGACTCTTTGTAAAATATAAATAGAACAGACATGCATATGAACATATGTACATATAAGGAAAATTCAAAGAGCAAGTTCTCTGACAAACTATATTACATGAAGCATTACACACAAATATTTTTTGTATACTAGACAGATTTTGAACATGAACAATAGAAAAACGTCACTTTCGTAATTATACACCTTTAGAGTAATTTAGACAATTTTACGTATAATTAAATGCATCAGTTTTTACAATGAGTACACTTCTTTGGTACAGTTTGTATCATTTCTTGTATTGTTGATACAACAGTTACATGATACAACATAATACCGGATAAATTTGGAAAAAGTTCTTTGAGCTTACAAACAGATTTTCATGTTATTTATTTTTTTGCTCAGACTTGCTGTTTTTTTGTTAAGACCTTGTACCTGATCTTGGGTGGTCAAACAGTTGAAGGATCTCTCTACATACATCAAGCTTTGGTTAGGTTTTGTTTTCCAGTTAAGAAGATGTATTTAAAAAAACATTAATAGATTTTCACCACAATTTAAATAACATACTGCACACCATTACCACATAAATATAATTTGTAAAAGAAAAAGCCCTATGCACAAGTTAATATGTACCCATCAAAATGTTTTTCTTTGGCAAATTTTGTCAATTTACCTAAAAACATTTGCCAGATTATGTGTCCAGAGGGCAGTTTTCAATGGTTATCCATCTTAAAATAAATTCATGTTATCACAGCTTGAGTATTTCTTCTGCAAAACATGTCCAGCTTGGAAATATACCACTTACGTACTTTTTGTACTATAAACATCATAAGCATTTATTTAAAAGAACTAACACGAAAGAACTCCTTCCTTGTTATTATTATTTATAAATTTATAATCACATCATTAAAATCAGGATGAGGCTAAAATCTAAAGACGATATGCAATGGCAACTCAATTAAAAAAAAACCCAATACTACAGCGGTTTGCTACATTTGTCTAATAATGTTAATTTGTTTTGGAATACAAGAACTGTGCCGATCTCCTTGTTAGCACACAGGTAGCTGCGGTGGTAGCTAAGCTAAATCATAATTTAATTTTTTTTCATTCATTCAACCTGTATTTAGACAGGTAAATCCCATTGAGCCTCGAGGACTCATTTACGAGACCTGATTTCAACAAAGAATGATGACAACATTGGACAACAGCGACAACAATAAACAGTTACAGTTAAAAACTTAATAAATGTAACATTTACTGAAAGCAGTAACTGTTGTATGAACAAAGATGGCATTAAATGTAAATGCTTGTCATTTATAACACAGTATGTTACTTTAGTCACTAAAGTCAGAATAAAGACATAAGGGTATAATAGCCGACAAGGTCATCAGCAACGTGATTTAGCCAAGTCTGATGCTAGCCCATGCAACCCATTGGAGTTCTGCTAAAAATTAGCATTTCAGCTAACTTTAGCTAGCTAGCGTTTTTCGTGTTTCAGAAAGTGACATTGAAAACATAGCTGACAAAATAAAATAACGACAAACACGACATGCAGTTCTTATTTAAAATTAGTTCGATGCGAATATAAGTAGAAAGACCTCGTAAACCTAGCGTATTTTGTGATTTAAATACTCACCACGGCTCTCTGAAACTTTCCGACATTTTGTTCTTTAACTGATATGTTCTCCCTGACGTTGACGTAACTTTTCTTCTTCGCTTTAGATTTCCTGAACCGAGTTTAATCGTCAACACAGCGCCATCTGCAGGAAGTATGAATATTCACACCTTGTTTAATTTTTTTGGCTTAACACCCCCCCCCCCCCCCCCCAATAAACCAAAGTAAAGACATAATAATGCATATGAGCCAGAATTAAGACAGTAGGCAGCCTTTAAATTGACCTTTCTTTATTCAGTAAAATAAAGGTCAGTTGTAAAAAAAAAAAAAACATGAGGCATGTTTCGCACCAAACAAAATATAAAATAAATACTCTAATCATTTGTTAAGTGGCTTATAAAGCGCAAAAAATATTGACAACAAAATAAACTGTAAAGTTAAACCTTGTAAAAGATTTGGTTATGAATTGCAAAGTGTTGTTTCTTGCATTTAAATTGTGATCATTTTCCCCTGGAAGCCTTCTGTGTTGGCCCTGAACCAGTAATCTCAACATTTTCATTCCTTACCCTTCTTTTCCACCATCAGAGAGACCAGTACTGCTGCTCAGAGGAACAATTCCAGCCCAGACATACAGTACAGCTGGCGTGCAGCCCAATATTAGAAAGGGGGAAGGAATGACTTGCAGTGTAAACCTTCACAGAGAAATGACCAAATACGGTCAGTTTAAGGAAGCAAAGACTGAGGCAGAGTTCTGAGAGATAAACTGGCTTGTTGCTGGTGCTGCACCCTTCTCTTCAGAGCAATGGAGATCATGACCACATCTTTTCAGCCAGTTCAGACACAAGACAGTTACAGATTAACATGTATGAAAAGTAACAGAAACATAGTTGTTCCTGAAACTTTGTTGATTTACTGATTAAGTACATGCTAGACATGTGTAACACAAAAACTATGCTGTGATAGTATTTTGTTTTTACAAAAGAAAAAAAAAATCTATTGGCATCATAAAATAATCCAGATTAATTCAAGCATTGTACAAATATTTTTCATTTCTGCCTCATTTAAAAGTGATTTTTAATCATAAACAAACTCCAGGTTTTAAATCTCTTCATCCCATTTGTGTAAATTGTAAGTTCAGTTACAATTTTCTCCCTTAGGATATTAAATTTATAATAGACAAACATTTTTAAGTATGTCATGATTCACAGTAAATCAACTATATGTGTTGCAAAATGTTTCTTTGGAGTGGATGCATGACTATAAATGGCTCGGTAATTTATTCTTTAGCAACACCTACATTAGATCTGAGGTGGAATGTACACAATGAAAATACGCAAGTGCAATACTCATAGTGTGACTTCATTTAGGACATAAAACAGCTCAACAGGTACTGAAATGTACATAAACTTCATTATCAGATTCATGTAGTGGTTTTTAGCACGATGATTATGTGCATATTCTCCTTCATGTTATCAGACATTGCACTCCCAAACACACCAGCATCTTTTATTAAAGACATACAGGCTCCGTCAGAGAGACATAAAAAAGGCATACTTGTCTCAGACTTTTGTTTACACTGAAGTTTTTCTGGGAGGGATGTTAACTTAAAAATACACTTCTTATACACAGGAGATAAGCAGAAAGGCTATTCATGAAATGATTTTCCAAATTCCCTGTAAGGTTGAGACATAAAGTTGTATTACAAGAGAATTAGCTGAGATAATAAAACACCACAGGCCAAAATGATTCTGTATAAAATACAGCAGACACTGAAGGGCACCCATTTGATCTTAGTAAACTGCTTTATACAGTATAATTACAGTATTTCCATTTAAAACTCAGTCATTAAACCTCAGGATTTTATTGGGCTGTTTTCCAAGACTGTGTCTTGAGATTTGAAAATGTGATACACAATCAAAGGTTTTAGTATCCTCACACACTAAAAACTGCTGAGCTAAAAACAATGGACTTTGTAATCCAGCTCTGGGTCAAATTTGAACTGAACCAACGCCATTTTTAAACTCACCAGGGTCAGGTGCAAGTTTGGCTCAGAGCTGGGTCACATTTTCTAAGATTTTCCTACCCCAAAACTTAAAATTACAAATTTGTTGAATTTGAGCTAATGAGAGAGGGAAAAAAGCTTTATTAGATAAATGCAAAATTGGATTGGTGCTAGTTAACTGGTGCTAACTGGAGTGGTGGTGCAGATATTAGAGAAGGTGAACTCGTCATTGGAAGGCATGTTCAAATCTCCAGAGTAGCCTAAAAACTTGGGTGAGAAAGATGAAAATCCATATCTGCCTCCACCCTCATTTGCCCCACTCTGGACCTTTGAGCAAGGCCCTCAACCCTCCAGCTGCTCCCCGGGCACCGTATGACAGCCCTCTGCTACACATGTGATAGGAAAAAGACAGGGAATGAATTTCCCCATTGGGGATTAGCAAAGTATAATAAAATATTAGTGTTAGCTTGCTAGCATCAACTCATGCTATTTTAGAAACCCAAACTCATCATCTAGTGCATGTGTCAAACTCAAGGCCCAGGGGCCAAATGTGGCCCTCTTTGACATCTTTTCTGGCCCCCAAAAAGACATCTGAAATGTAAAAGACTTTTATCACTTGCATTTCTTCAGTAATCTTTGATTAGATGTTGAAAGCACAACAGAGAACGTCAAATGAGACCAAACTCTTGTTGAGGAACCTTCAAACAAGAAAATTGGCCCTTAGTTTGAAAAAGGTTTTAATCTTGCCCCCCTTTTGTAAGTGTGTTTGAAGCCCCTGAGTGCAAACTAAAATTAATTACAAAGTCAGACAGGCAAAATATGTTCTTATAAAATTGTTTTACAGCCTTACCTTTGCTTGTTACATCCTAAGGCAGAGGTCCAGTCAGGTTCAATTTGGTCAAATTCTGGCACAACTCATCTATAACCCAACAACTTGGTCCAACTTCTTAATAAAATATTTTATTAAACCAACCCAACCTTTGATCCAATAGCTTTAACACAGCAAGTGAGTTATCATAATAGCTCAGCAGTTATTAGAGCGCAGATTTGTTTAAGTCAGGTTCTATGATTGCTATTTCCCTGTTATTTCCAGGATTACAGTTGACCAGTAAATGGACTTTTACTAATAAATAAATGGTCAATTTAATGCTTACAACAATAATATAGTTTTGTAATTTTACATATTGTCTGAATCCAACCTCAATCATATGCTTCCAACAGTCAGAGGCGTATACAAGCCAACATGTTAGATGATCGGCTTTATATAATCTAGTGCAAAAAAGCGTCAATATGGACCGAAAAGAGAGAGCCACAAACTCATGGAGCTCTCAACCGTCGGCTTATGAAGAGCCCTGCAACACTCATTCTCCCTAGAGTCCCTTTGGTCCAGTGTTTGAGAGGAGAACTCATAGTGAGGGCAATGTTTTAGACTTTTCCATTTGTACCGCCGAGCGACTCTTCAACCAGCCGCAGGAGCTCATCTCCAAGAAAACCTGCAGTGAGATGTATGTTGTCCCCTTCTTTTTCTTCTCCATCAGAAGGTCTTTTACTGTAGCCACTTTGGTACGGGCACCTGTGTGGAAGACAAAAAGGTGAGTTGGTTTGAATGAGCCAACATCACGAGCCTCTCTAACTGCTCCTACCTTCTTCAGCTGTTTCATATTGCTTCCTCTGATAGAGGCTAGCAGTTGGTCCCTTGAGTTCTTGGTACCACCTGGGCGGTCGCCATCCAGCATTGGAGGTGGAGGAGGTGGGGGCCCACCCCCAGGAGGGGGCGGAGGTGGTGGCGGAGCTGGCCCTCCAGCTCCTCTTCTGGGTGTCAGCTTTGGTGAAGGCATAGGTGAGGGAATGGGAGATGGTTTGGGGGAGGATTTTGGCGTACTCCTCAGAGATCCTCCACCTCCAGTTTTGGGCACCTCCAGTGCCCACTTCTTCTCCCCATTTGCCTGCGCCATCTTCTGCTCTTGCAGGCGCCTCTGCCTCTGTCTGTCCATGTTGCGACTCAGTATGTTTGTCGTGGTCATCCTGGGTCCGGCTAACTCAAAGTGGTAGCCCAGTTTGAGCAGGGTGGCGTTTTCTTTCAGGATCTTCACCATCTCCATCTCCGTCTTGCCGCCACAGATGTGGCGTTGGTTTTGGAAGCGAAGCTCGGTCAGAGTGGAGTTGTGCTGCAGCGACTGGATTAGGGACAGGATGCCCTTGCCGGTGAGATGGTTGGAGTCGAGGTTGATGCTGGTGATGGTCTTGTTGCTGCGCAGCATGCCGGCTATGGCGTAGGCCACATGGTCGTCGGCGCGACAGTTAGCCAGAGCGAACGTCTTAACGTGAGTGTTGTTGTGCAAAACTTCTGCAAACTCCATGAGCGTTTTCGTCTTGATGACCTCAGAGTTGTTGACATTGAGCTCAGTGAGGGAGGGGTCGTCGCTTCCAACCTGCTGCATCAACTCATCGAACATGCTGGAATCTTCGTCATCCTCCTCTTCCTTCTTCGGCTTGCTGTTTGAGCTGCTTTTGGCCACGCAGTTACCAACTTTTTCCGTTTCTTCAGTGTTTATAAGTTTTCTTTGTGTGTCATTGTTTTCCCTTTTCTCCTCAGTTTTCAAGTCTTTACTAATCTTGGGATATTTCTCTTTCACGTGGTCGCTGTGGTTAACCAGCTCCTCCCGATCACTTCTGTTTTCTGGCTTGTCCCGTTTCGCCTGCACCTCAGCCTTCTCAGACACCTGCCTCTGGAGTTTAACATCAGGGTAGGTTTTCTCCTCGGCTCTCAGCTTGTTTTCATCTTTTTTACTCTCCTGAGTTGTTTGACTCTCTGCTGCCTTGCTCTGCTTCTCCACCATTTTGGAAACGAGCCCCTGCGTCCTGATGTTCTCCGGTTTCCTTTCCCTTTCTTTTCCTGCGTCATTCTCGCTTTTTTCACGAAACTTTGAGATAATGTCTTTGGTTTTGTTGTCATCTCTTTTCCTGCACTCCTCTTTCCTGTCCTTTTCTTTGCCCTCGTTCTTTTTGTCTTGTAACTTGGAGATCATGTCCTTTGTTTTGCCGCCTGTGCTATCTCTGTTTTCTCTTCTGCCTCTTAGCCTATAATCGTCTTTCTCATTAACCTCCTCCTTTGTGTCACTTTCTGTGTCTTCTTGTTTCCTGTATCTACTTGAACGCCAGCTCTTCTCTTCTTTCACATTATCAAAACCTCTGCTGTTTCTGTCCTTAACCTTGACATCTCTGTCACTTGTGAAACTTGGTTGTCTTCGCACCGCTGCTTTCATGTCATCGTTCCCCTCCTGGCTGAGGCCCATCTTCCTCAGGTACTCCTGCTTCCGGCTCTCCTTCTTTGGTTCCCCCTGGAGGAGAAAGCACGTTTTATACAATTTTCACAGCTCACAGTTGAAGCAAAAGTGAAAGAAAAAAATAATAAATCGTAGAAAAAAACAAACGCAAAGGAATATATTTGCAGTGCATTACTTAAATTATTTATTGCTTCACAGCATTTGCACTTAAACCACTTGATCTGCACAATATACGATGGCTTTTTGTATAAATACTTGTGTAAATCGTGTATTTCTTTACTACAAAACAGCTTCCCATCCATCTCCTCATTGTAAACACTATCTTATACACAATATGGCATGTGTGCTTACACTCAGCAGGACAGGGAACCTTTTTTCATAGGGCAGGAACACATTTGAAGCTTGCTAAGTGTTTGATTTGTGAGCTGCTGTGCAGCATGAGGCCAAGGCTCTGGCAGTTGTGTCCTTAAAAGGCAGCGAGCAAAGGAGCAATCAACCAAGGAATTCCATCAGGCTGGGATTAAGGAGCTCCGCAATCCACCGGAGCGCTCCTCTTTTCAGCACACCAACTACCACAAATCTTGCATCATAACTATCAATCTGGGGGAGCCTTTTGGCTTTAATTGTCTAAAATCTTTGTATTTGTCATAAGGATAATTTAAATGCCTCAGTGACTCAATGTTTTTCATTTTAAAGTTATGATGGAGGAGTATGGTGTGAATGTCTGCAAACCTCAGAGGGAGAACCATGTTTTCCTGGCAACATAAAGTCGCCTTTGGGAGAGCACTATTTTTGAGCTGATGGACTCAGGGTGAGCAAGCCTCAGCTGCTTAGTCAAATGAAAAACAGCCCTCAATGGACTAGCTTGTGTCAGTGGATGTGTAATGTACAGCTGCAAACTATTAGTCATGCATCATTCCTTAAAAACTGATAGAATGAGTTCAAATCAAACATAAAGGGTGTGATGGGTCTTAGAAACACAAAGCTTCCAGGTCAACGTCACTAAAACGCTCACACGTTTTCTTACTAACCTCAAATGATGGCTCCCTCTGACTGAGCCTCCCCTTGCTGTCGCTTCGCCCTTCGGTGTCCCGGACGTTGTTGCTCCGAGGTGGCTGTGAAGGATGGCTCTCCCCTTGGATGATGATCTTTCCATCCTCTGGGCTGATGTCTGGAACATTCCTCAGGTCTTTATCCAGCTCTTCCACCTCCTCAGGAGAGAGGGTGGACAGCAGGTTTTCCAGGTCTGGGTCTTCGCTGACCTGTCGACCTGTACGGGTCAGGCCCCTCACTTTTCGTCTGGACATTTTTGGGCTGTTTTCTTCAGAAGATGAACGGACGCGTGCTGGTATATTCATATATTTTGGACCAAAAGGATTCTCTCCTACAGGCCAGGGAGAGGCTATGAGCTGAAGGCCTGCTGTCCACTTGTGTCCCCCCTCACTGAAAAGCCACCAGAGGCATCAATCCTGGCGTTAAGAGGCTGCACTCACAGTCGTGCAATGAGGAGCCCCAGTGATGAACTACAAAAAGCTCCCATCATCAAAGAGCAGCATGAGGCTGGGAGATTCTTTGAAATCCTGTTAAAGTGCATGCCCATATTTAGTTCAGGGTACACGCTCCTTTAAAGGTAATGGGAAGGGCTGAAAGTTTACAGAGCAGACTGACAGACTTCCTATTACATAATATGTTTAGACAAAAGAGACGAGTTCCAGATTCAATATAAAAATATAACGCTACCAGAAATTTACAGCTAAATATTTATTCCAATAATTGCAGGTTAAAGAGTTTCATCTGAAAAATGTCACATCGAAAATCAAATGAGAGAAGGATTTAAGAGTAAGTTATGCCCTGCAGGTTACAAGATCCAAGTTTTGTGAAGTGGGTGCAATTAAAATAAATTTCAAAACAAGTCCAATTATGCTTTAGATTACAAAAAAAAGAAACAAACAACAAAATCAGTGTAAAATGTAAATAATGTAAACAATGAGATGCAGTGATTTGCAAATAATTTACTAGTTACAAAATAAATGCATGATGGAATTAATTTAAAATAGCACAACGTAAACCCACAAGCATCTCAGTTACATCACTAATGACTGCTGTGCATGAAGATAAAGGAAGATGATCACTTTAATTGTAATCTTTGAGGACACCACTATCTAATTGTGATTTGTTGCATCACAGCCCAGTTGGACATTTTATCGGAGTCCAGCTTAAATGTGTTTAGGTCTAGAACGGGTCACTGGATGCAGGTTATAAAACAATTCCTTGCCTAAGAAAGGTTTTCTTTTTTGATCTGTGGATGCAATTGCAAACTGTGTTCAATAACAAAAGGTTCAAGTATTACTGTAGTAACCCCCACCCTACATTTGGACATTCAGAGATGTGAACTTTTTTTTTTTTTTTTTTTTTACCTTTTAAAAGCTTCTCTGGATGTTGTGTTTTAATCGCGCACACCTTTTTAAAACGAGTTTAATTATACTGTATCTCCAAACTATTAAATTATTGATTATGTTTTTATTTTTAATATTAACTTTAAAATAAAAAAAAATGTTTAAAAATGAAAGAAAAATCTAAAAGTGGGTGTATATTTAAGATTTAATGTGATTTTCTGGGATGAGACTTGGTCATCTAGTGGCCAAAATCATGTACTGACATTGTTTTCACATGGAAATCCCTTAAAAAAAGAATAATTCAACAAGAAAATAAATAAAAACACACAAGAGGCAAAAATGATTTTACATTTCAAAGTTAAAATTTATGTTAATAGAAATAATTTCTCGTCCACACACTTTACATTACAATGCCATACCATCCATATGACAGACAAATGTCACATGTTACTTCTGCACCAAATGTCAGTTTCATTAAAACACACCGATGGAGATGGTTCAGAAGCAGAAACAACCAGGAGCATCGTTGAGAAAACATAATAAATTACACATGAAAGTGTCGTACCAAGAAAACCCCGGTGTTGTCCTGCTTTAACAAATCTGTTCATGTGGCCGTCAAAGGAAATCATTTACACTGTAAAGAGTATTACTGGTTTCTGTTAGAGTCATTGTGAGGCTTAGCACTGATTAAATATACAGGAGTAGGCCTCAGGCCCCTGGCTTACCTTCATTAGCAGTTTGTTTTCTACATAAACTTCATGTAACAGTTTTTAAATAAACTCAGGAGGGTTTACGGTGCAGCAGACAACCTGCAAGGTTAGAAACAGCTTAGCTCAGTGCAAAATTACTGTTAAATTTCAAGTAGATAAAAATCATTTGGGAAGAATACTCGTTTGCTTTCTTGTTGACTTCAAGCTAAATGAGAGAACAACTCTGTCCAACTACTACTAGAAAACAGGGTAAATAAGTACTGGTAATCAGAATGAGGAACAAATCAGAACCGACTGAATTTACAGACTGTCAGCAAGGAAATGTTACCTGCTCCAGAAAATAACACCAACAACCAGCTTAGTTCAATAATAAAAAATGGGGAAACAAAACCACAAACCATCACAATAGTCTTTTAAAACAACAAAGTTATAACAAAAATATAGTTGTCATAATCAAGATGAAAAACGAGAGAGACAACTGTTTTCTCTACTTCTTTCTGCACACGGGACATGCTGTTTACTGAAGGCACCACAGTTACGTTTCTTATCTTGTGAGTTACTTTATCTTTGATCTTTGAACTAATTGTTGCTCCGGTGATCAAAATCAGGATCTGGACATAGAAATCCTCTCAGGGTAGGATTAAAATTTTCACTCCTGAACATTTTAACCCATGCTGATGTTGCATCCCAGCATTGCTTCAGTTACAAACGCACAGCGATCAATTATGTGCTTGTTTCACTTATTTATCAGTTTCAGTGTGCATGTTGTTAACCTCTACACAGAATCAGCTTGGCTTATTTGTCTCTACCATTTCTGATGAGCTTGGCTATAAAATGGTGACCAGATGGCCAAGAGATGACATGCCATCTGCAGTTCCACTCCAAAACCAAACCTAAATTTCTTTACCACTTTCTGGCTACTTTAAACTTTGTATTTTTGCACCACCAGACAGAACTACCATTGTACTGAACAGTTTTTAATTTATACTTGAGCCAAAGATCTCAATATTAATTAATCTTATCTAACTTTCAACAACAAAAAAAAAAAGAAAATATTTCAAGTAAATAGACAAGTAAATGAATTTCCAAAAATACTGAGAGAAATCTTTAACAGAATCAACAGTGGTCATATTAGTCCAGTCGGTAAGAAACCATTCACAGTAAGATATAACCACTGTAATCATAAATAAGGAAGTAAACACATCATATCCCATGTTACAATAACAATACACTGTCTTAAAACAAGTTGTTACAACATTAATAAATACTCAACTGAAGACCAGATTTGCAGCACATGTATTTAAATAGATAATCTCATATTATTTATAGTTGGTTATTGTAAGGTGGGACATGGATTATTTTGGTTTTACAAGAAATAAAAACTTGACTTTTCTGGCCATCCTACCCGATAGTGTGCAGTGTCTAAGTATGATGTGATAGTGTACGAGACTACGTCTTATTTCATTAATAGCCCCAAAAAAAAAACATCAGAAAGAGGATAAGAAACTGAGCAGGACACTGTTGGTACATGAGAAGGGCGCCGCTAAAATGACCATAAAGAGAGAATTTTTTCAAACTAACAAGTGAAAAATGTTTTTCACAAAGAGAAATTCACAAAGAGATTCATAAAATCAAGATCATCCGTTTTTGATTTGAACATCAAGTCACTATTTTAAAACATGCAACTCAATCTTGGAGGCAATGCAAGTAAAACATCCCATACACGAAGAACAAGTTACCAGAAGTTCAGGAATTGGATCACCGAGGGATTACTATGAATGTAGCAACGGGCAGTTATCAGTTGCTTTTCATTTAACACACATAAGTAAATAAAGCATGTTTCCCTTTGACAAATAAAGGAGTGCATCATTTTTTTGGACATCCTCTTTCTCTGTATGCTAATGAGCAGCGTCTTCTGTGACAGTCTGTCATTGACATGAGTGAGTCAGAGGAAAAGTGGAAGCGTCTAGACACGGATACCTCCTCATTTAAAAGGATGACGCCTGCCGTGAAAGCCGCATGGAGCAATCAAGCATCAGGTGTCAGAGTTTGATTTACATTATTTAGAAAAAGCAGGACGATGCTGTAAATAAACAACAACAAAAAAAAACTAAAGTTAAAGTGCCTCCTGCTCTCTTTTACAAGAAAACCAAGCCAAGTTGAGCTCTAGTTTATTATATGGTGTGTGTTAGAGAAGTTTGCTGCCACCTTCTTTTGAAACAGTCCTTTCTCTCACTGTGTGGAGACGAACACATCACTGAGGATATTGAGGTGGAGAGTAAGGTGGTGGGGCTAAAAAAAAAAAACAAGAAGGAGAAAAACACGATTTAATGGTGTCAATATGCAACAAATACAATTGACAATTTTCTGACCAAAACAGTTGTTTTTATTTGAATGTTAAAGAAACTCGTGAAAATTGAGGGAACTCCGAGATAAAAACAGAGAACTGAAATAAACCAGGTTTATAAAACAGGATGTACACAGTAGTTGTTTTAATGCTGCGGCCGACTAGTGTACATGTTGATTGGACTAAAACAACACTGTTTTCAGTGAGAGTAAAGCCAGGAAATATGTGAAAACAACTGGAATCCTGCTAAATGTTTGACAGTAAAAATAAAGTGAAAATGATGATTATAGGGAAAATTTTATAATAAATCTGAAAACTGACTAAATAATACCAGATTTGTTGCTCAAATGGAACGAGAATCAGGCTGAGCTGCTAAAAGTGTAATATTTTGTGCAGAAGAGAAGTTTAAAGAAGGACTTAATGTGAATAAAACGGAGCATTCACATGCTGGAGAACATGGTGATCTGCCAAAATCTTTTTGATACTTCTTGACTACAAGTGAACATTTGGGCCCGTTGTTGGTGCTAAGAGAAAGATCATGGGTCAGTTGATGGTTTTACATAACTAGTTTAGAATAGTCTGCTGTTAGAATATTCGGTTTTGGTACACTGTAATAAAAAATGTTATTTATGTATTTCTTCCCCAAAGCAGACATGTCTTTAATTGTTTTGTCTGTCAAATAGAAATAGGACATAAGTAATTCATAGGTGCTGAGATTTGTGCCAGACTAAAAAAAAGCTTGAATGATTATTTTAAACAGCCTAATATGGACTATCAACAGTATGAGTTTATGATAACATGAAACCCCTGCCACAACATCCTCACAGTTGGTGCCGCAGCTTTGTATTTTAAACGGCACAATAATTATTTTGTTCATTTGCATGAAAAAGTCAAAATATGGACACAAGTTTCCTTTCACTGTTTCTGATGGATATTGTTAGTGTCATATCATGTGATCATTTAGACACCTGTTCTACTTGATTCTTATTCAGGCAACAGATTAGGCTTGACTTACTGAAATGTCATATTTCAACAAAGAAATTTATGAATAAAAATTTAT